CTGGACGGCAGCCTGGAGCTCTACTCCCCGCCGCGCAGACGGCGGAGCGCCTCGTCCCGCAGCGCCCTGAGCTCGCTGGAGTCATCGCAGGGAGACTCGGAGCAGCTCCTGCCGTTGCCGGGGGCTGACAGCGCAAGGGAAGAGGGAGCCGGACGGTCCTGTCCGAAAGGTGCGGGCAGGAGTAGTGAGCTGGGCGCGGTGTTAGAAAAGTCTGGCAGGGTCCTGAGGCCGTCGGTGCAGGGACCCTGCCAGGCACAAGTGCCCTTGTCCCCACAGAAAGCCACAAGCACCCCTCAGGCAGTGCTGTCTCCTGTTAATGGCGAGCTACAGCACTCTGCACCGTATGGCGGTGCTGCTTCTGATGAACCATGTGATGATTTAAGCAGAGATTCAACAAAAGGAAGCTTGCATCATGAGAGAGGCAAAAGCAAGAAGTACCAGCTTATGCCGGTGGTGGTCTTGGATCCTCAGGAAGTGCCAGTGTGGCTGACGAGCACGAAATGCAGCAAAAAATCAGATATTCAACCTGACTGCCAGCAGCCGGTATCTCCTTTGGGCCTTCGAGGAGTCTTGGACAGTAAACATAAAAGTACCAAGGTTGTTTCTGGAGAAGGAAGTGCCTGTAGAAAAGCCTGCATCAGTGGCTTCAGTGCCAGCCGGTGGGGGAGACAAACAAGGCTCCGTCCAAAAAGGCACAAAAATAAGAGGCAGCAGCCTAATAACTCCTTTTTCAGACCACAGATGAGGCAAAAAGGAATGAAAAAGAACGTTCCAGAGATCTCTGTAGATATGAGAGACAATGACTATTCACTCCTCAATAGCTCCTACTCCTGGACTAGAGTTCGAGCATCTTTGTCCTTCCATAAGAAGAAGAAAGTTACCACAGAAGAGAGTTTCTACGGCAGCATCCTTTGTACCCCTTCTGCGAAATCCCAGCTTTCAGGGCACCAAGCAACCCCATCTGCTGGTAATGCTCAGTGCTGCGCTTGGTCTGCTTCCTCCATGGTCCTGCTGGCTCCCAGGAATTCCTGTTCTGTCCTGGAGCTAATGCTTACAGATGCAGAGAAGGTGTTTGGGGAATGCCACCAAGAGGGGCCTATCGCTTTTGAGGAATGCATTCCTTTAGATAAGATGAAAAATTGCAAGAAAATTGGAGAAGGGGTGTTCGGAGAGGTCTTCCAGATCGACAATGAGAGAGGACCTGTGGCCTTAAAGATAATTCCCATTGAGGGGACTGAAAGAGTAAATGGTGAAGCTCAAAAGAGCTTTGGAGAGATTCTACCTGAGATAATAATTTCAAAAGAACTCAGTCTTCTGTCTGAAGAGTCTGTGAATAGGACTGTTGGGTTCATCAGCTTGTACTCTGTGCACTGTGTTAAAGGGGCCTATCCTAAATATCTCCTGGAAGCCTGGGACACATACCACAAAGTTACGGGATCAGAAAACGATCGGCCAGACCTTTTTGGGGATGAACAGCTCTTCATGGTTCTGGAGTTTGAATTTGGAGGCAGTGACTTGGAGAATATGAGAAACAGGTTCAGCTCAGTGGCATCGGCAAAAAGCATTTTGCACCAGGTCACTGCTTCCCTGGCTGTGGCAGAACAGGAACTGCACTTCGAGCACAGAGACTTGCACTGGGGCAATGTGCTGGTAAAGAAAACGGATGTAAAAGAGCTTAATTATGTGCTGAATGGGGCAACACGCACAATCCCCACAGCAGGGATTCACGTCAACATCATAGATTATACCTTGTCTCGGCTGGAGAAAGATGGGTTAACTGTGTTTTGTGACCTTTCCACTGATGAAGAACTGTTTCAAGGCACGGGGGACTACCAGTTTGATATCTACAGGCAAATGAAAGTGGAGAACTCCAACAGCTGGACTGACTATCATCCACACAGCAATGTCCTCTGGCTGCACTACTTGTCAGATAAACTTTTGAAAGACATGGGCTACAAGAAAAAGGAATCAACTTCTTCCATGAGGAAAATAAAGCAGCAGCTCATTAAGTTCCACAAAGAAGTACTGACCTTTGAGTCTGCCAATGAAGTTTTACAAAACAGCAGCCTCTTCCAGTGAGCAAGGGAGTGCAACATTTCTAAGAACTAGGCCACTGCTACTGCCTTTCTCCTTTGCTGGTTTTTATGTATGATCTTTTTAAATGTTGGCACAATGAAGAAGTGTTATGATTGGTTACCAATGTGTATAATATGCTATCAAAAAATGTCTTTAAAAAAAAAGACCCCATCCCAAAAAGTCTTCTGCTTTAAGATCTTTCTATATGTACTTTTTTGGAGGGGTTGGGGGGGTGGGTGGGGAGAACAGAGTTGATCTTTGAGAAAGAGAGGAGGAAAAAAGACTTCTTCAGGCTCAATTAACATTTTGAATTCCACAGAAATTTTCTTACCTTTTTAGTCTCAGATTATTAAAAGTTCTTTCCTTACTATATTGTCTTTCTTACAAAATTTTTTAAAGAAAAAAAAATACAGTTCTGGATAGTGAGGACAAAGGTAAATAGTGTTAGCCCAGTTGGGGACAGAAAGGGGAAAAACCCCTCACCTTTTGACTTATTTTTTTAAATTAAATTTTGCCAAACAGAACAAAAGTTGTATCTGCAATGATGCTATAAAATGTAAATATGTAAAGTTTCTGTAGTGTAGGTTTTAAAAACACTCTAATCTGCAATAATATGTTGGGTTTTTTCCTCTGTAAAGACCAGTGAAGAAGTATTGGATTAGGAAAAAATTTAAGTACCTGTGTTCCTGATGCATTTTTGACCGTTATTATGCTGTGACCTTGTATGCTGATAGGAATCCAAATCTGTAACTTGATGGTAGCATTAAAGCGATTTTCTCCATTTACCTACAGAAGAAAATGCACTAGGTAGAAATTGTTCTTTAGTCCTGATGACCTAAATTTGAAGCTATACTTACATTAAACTTGAATTCTTTGTTTTCAAGAAGTCCTTTGCTAACATTCACGTACATTAAAGAAACTGGTCTAAAGAGAACAATAAATCAAAGTGAAAAGTTGATTAGATGATAAAAATTAGTACATCCAATGACCCAGATGCATTAAGTAATTAAGATCATCAGATTTGTTAGAACTGGAGTGCTGTCTATGCAGTCTGCCTCCATAGATGTGTATATATGCTGTCTATCAATTAATGCATCTTTGAACCTATCCTGAAGTCTAGTTTTCACAAGCTGAGCAGTTAGAGGCCCTAGGTACCCCCTGCCTGTGGGATGGTTTTACTGTTCTGTCTTCCAGACTCCCCTACTTTTGCTGCCTGGTACCACAGAAAGTGACTTGACAATCTGCAGTGCTTGAAATTACTAAGATGGAAATTGTATTGGAATCTTACCAGGCATCATCTCGATCTTTTTTCCTCTAATTGACTAAAGTAATGCAATATAATTGAATATTCTTAAAACTTACTTGGTAAGGACTGCAGTGAATGCATATCTGACATCAAGGATGTGTTCTTCAGTCAGAATGGTGCTATTTTCATTTATGCTTAAAAAGAAAAAAAGGCAGGATGGATGAAACAACATTATTATCTGCCTGCCTTGGTCCTTTATTTCTACTACTTGAGAACTGCTAATATTGGCTCTAGAAGAGGGATGGAAACAGAGTGGCAGTAATTAATGGAGAGGTCCCAGCCCACTTGGGGACATGGCACAGCAGTTTTGGAGCAGCTACAGATTTTGAAAACTTGCCACTGCCTTGAAAATGTTTCCCCACAAACCAAGGTTAATTTGTGAATATGTAGTATTGCTTTCGTTAATCAGAATTTAAAGCTTCCACCCCTCACAGAACTGCACGTAAAATTCATATAGAACCCTTGCCTTAAACTGTGCTTGCAATGAAGCGTAGCTGCCAGAGATGAGTTCTCATTTCCTTTTTAAACATGCTCTCTGCTTAAAAAATGCTGTGTACTAGTCTGTCCCCAGAAATTTTAATGGGAGAAACGTGACAAGAAAGGAATCCGACTGGTAACTCCCCCCCATTAGAAGGCCCCTAATCAAGAAAAATGCCCTGAATGTATGTTTTCACCCCAATCATTTGGAGTGAAAGCTTTACTCAGAACAGAGCTGGATTATATATATTTTAATCTTCTGTTCTCTCTGCTAAGGAAGGAGGATGCCTGAACCGAGTCTGCCATTTCAGAAAACACAAGTTTTTAAATAAGTACAACACTTAAATTAGGACCTCAAAGGGTGCTCCATCTTTTCTGAAATAATGAAGTATGAGCAAAGCTAAAATCATAAGGGAAGGAAAGATTTTTCACATGGATCCAAATGCTTTAGAAGATTGAAAAGAACATGTGTAGTTTTGTGGAATGAGTGACTGATAAATAGTATGGACACCAAGTAGGAGTCCTGATATTTCCTTTCTAGTTCACAGTGTATTTTGTGGTGAAAATAGCAATACTCACCTGGTGATCTTAATGGTGATTGCAGACTTATTTTGGAATATGCTTTCATCTACTTGCCAAATCACTGAAAAATTTGCCTGTTTTGAGGGAAGAGAAAGACATAACAAAATATCGATTACCCTGTATGTACTCTTTAACTCACTAGGGTACTGTTAAAATATGATGGCTAATGTATTTTCTGCTCATCATTCCCTTCAGGAGAAATTAGACATGAAGCGCAGGCATATAAAAATTATCTTTTGCCTTGAGAAAATGCACACCAGGTATAAGCTGAATTTGAAAGAATGGAGGCTCTGGCCTAATTGTAGAGATAGAGGGTGCAAGAGCAGCTACTCAAACTATCATTTAGAGGTAGGGGAAAAGTGAAAATAATGATCTCCACTTACAGTTGTCTTCTTGAATACTGGATGCCCAATACTGCAGTTACAGGATGAGACTAGAGAAGTTAATGGTATCGGTTGCCCGCAGTGAATAGCAGGAGAGGATTGCTGCCAACAGAATAGGAATGCTCTTTAATGCTGAATAATAACAGACTGGGAAATTCAGCTCAGTCTGCATCTGCTCCCATAAAACGAATTAGGTACAAATAGCCCAATAAAAGCTTAGGAGTCTTAAATCAGATAAATCCACTATTCAGGCTCTGGTTCTAGCAACTGAAATGCTCCTTCCCTTCCTTCTACTTCAAGATTTATTTAGGTAGTAAATGAATAGCAGTCTGCACTGGGTTTTCTTTCAGCAGCCTGCTGCTAGCTGAAGAGTTGTTCTACCATCTTACCTCAACAGTCACCTTCTTAAAAAGTAGGTTTTTAGGATAGTTCAAGACCATAGTTGTCATGTACGAGTCATCTCCACTGTTCATTAGTGAAACATTCATGGTCACTTCTTTAGTGTGGCCCACCACTAATTGCTTTCTAGAAGCAGACAGAAAAATGAGATGAGTGACATGTAATTTCTAAGGGTTATTTATTAAGAGGCCTGAAGCATTCTGGTTCTGGCAATTAGTCCCTCCAAATGCTTTCACACACAGGATAATGCAATAGCCCAATTAATTATTCAATATTCTTAAGGCTGTGTAGGAAAGTGCTTCCTTCTTAATATCGAAGGCAGTCATCTCCAAACTTTATGTAACATTTTATCATTTCTGGTTTATATCAGGGTAGACTTTAAGCATTGTTACGCTTGATTAGCTTTTCTGTGACTATCCAGGGTAAATTTTTAAATGAAGTGGTGCCTACCGTTTTGGCCAAGGCTTTGTAAACTGAGCAACTCTGCTGTAGTGCTGTGCTGTGCATCAGCCTACAACACAATCACATGTTCACAATTAAATGCCAGAATTGTGATTTTAGGATGACTCTAGTTGTTTAAACCCTGGTCTTTCCTCTGAGATTTCCTAGAACAGCCCAGCAACGCCCATGGAGGCATACAGTTATAGCAGTGTATGAATGGGATGTTAGGGAAAGGATGAATTGGATGGAAAGTAATGTATACAAAGGGACAGCAAATCTTGTCTGAGAATTTGAAGAAAATGTCTTATGCACAAAGATGACATTTTATATGAATGCTAAATGCAAAATCTGGATAACATAACTACTGTGACTCACTGAATCTGACTTGTCAAAGTTAAATGAGCAATACAGACAGTCTTGTTGTCGCAGTCCTTCTTGTAAGGCAACTGAAAGCAAACACAGATTAAGTCAGATTTTAACAGTCTTAATTTTTCTAAGGTAACAGATTCAGAATATCTTTACATATACACATACATTCTCTGAAAACCATTCCCATGGCTTCAATTAAGGAGAAGTTGGAAACGAAAGACCCTCTAGTCATGGGTCAGTCCTAAACTGATGATGTTTTGTAATTCAACTCCCAGGAGAAGGTCTATTAGCAATAATATGAAAAGTCTTCACTGGGGACAAGGTCTTGTTAAAGAAAAGCCAGTTGTTTACCCCTAGATTGCCAGAGGGCAATAATATTAATTTATTTTCCAGAGATGATATGTTTTTCTCATATAAATATGTTTGTATGCTGTGCCAGCTTATAGACACACTATTTTGTGGAGATAAGGTTACGTCCTTTAGCAATAGTTTTATTTACCAATAAAAATCTACTGTCTGTGGCTGACATTTCTGGAGAAGTTCAATGAAAATTACTAATTAGCTGTTGGGTGCACAAGTACTAAGCAATGTTGACCAACACTTAAGAATCTCATTAATTATTCTTAAGAAATAAATGTACCATCAACATCATAATCCCTAAGAGAACTGTGCCTACAGTAATTAGTGTTCATTACTGCTTAGTGCTAAATGTTGTCCTAACTTCTCTGTCCTATGCTTTATGGACAGCTAATTAAATATTGAATTGTGGTACAGACTCCTGCCTCTCTGCAGAGCTTTGTGGAACTTTTTCAGAAGCCGTGATTTGGATTTCAGACTAACTGTGAAAAAGAGCTAGACTAGCTTGTAGTAATCCTAACTAAACTGCAAGAGAGGAGATCAAACTTAACCTTTATTAGAAGTTTGCAGCCAACAACTAAAACAAACTAAAAATATATATACACATGATCTTCATTGTTTTTAAAAAGACATCATCAGAAGATTGTAGAGTTGTTACTACCAAATACACCATTCAAATAATAAGTCTTAATCTAAGTTCCAATGTAGAGCTCAGTATCTGAAAAGTACTTCACAAAACACACGAACTATCTGCCTCCTCCCCAGGTAGCATCTAAACTCATTTTATACAGAGGCATAGGAGAAATGTCATGGTCAAAAGTAAAGCTATTTTTTTAGCAGATCTGAGGTTGGACCTTAGAGATGAGATTCTCTTAACAAGATACGAGTATCTGTTTGGGGGAAACCTGGGCCTAAAGTCTACCCAGAAACCAGTATTGCTAATTAGAAAGGGAGCAGAGGGCAGAAGATGACATGCAAAGGCTAAGAAAACCACAATTTGATTTATTTAATTTTTAATAGTAAAAGCTTTGCATCCTGGAAAGAGAGAAAGTTCTTTGCTAGTGGTTTATTACCTGAAAATGCATTTCTGATGGCTTGTATCTATCCAGCACAGGAACAGCAAACTCCGTGTTACCATTTTTCTCATAGAGCTTGTGTTTTACTCTCAGAAAAATGCTGGAAAAACAGTCAAAGTCACATGGCTACAAGAAAGGAAGAACAAGAAGTTGGAAAAATATCTGAGCATTAAAATGCAAAAGTCTTCACACGTCATCTCTGTTCCAGCTTCTACCATCTGACATATTTAGGGACCTTCTGGCTCAGACGTCTTCTTTGGGCTGCTATGTTTAATAGCCTTCAGTGGACCATAAACTTGTCGAATGGTTTTTTGGATCATTTTATACATTTGGCTCCCCTGACATCCCCTGGATAATGTGTTTGGTGATTCAGTTATGCATTGGGAAAAACAGTTTCCTTATGTTTGCTTTAATCCTGTAGACCTTTATGCCTTTCCTACAATTCTAGGATTAGAAATACTTTACATGCACACAAAAGGACAGGAGTTTGATTTACAGCAATACAAACCGAAACGGCACATGACCCATTTCCTGCCTCAGCTGTAAAGTCTAATACTGAGAAAACCCCACCCCATTGCAGTAATTTTGTATTTCAAGAAAGACCCATCATGATGCAGATTCTGTTAGAGAATCCTGTCCTTTTAACCCTTCTTTCTGTAATAAGTCTGACCAACATCGCCTACCAGCAAGTAAAGCTGCAGCTGAGAGCACATGTGCTTGCTGACCAACAGCTTCCCACTTGTTGTGGTGTTCTGATCTTCAAACTGTACTCTCCTCTTTGCCATTTTCACATCTAAGTCCACCGTGTAGAGAATGTATAACTGTGAAAACACTGCAAGATTTTTCAGAATCCTTTGTTAGATGTACCAGAAATTGTCCTCAGTGTCAAGTTTCCGAGGACAGTGTAGGACTGTAGATTTCAATCTGATCACAATTTCCATTTATTACCTCGACGAGACACTGGTAAAGCTGAGATCGTATCGAAACATAGTTTTGCTGTAACAATGCTGTTATTTTGTAAAGTTAGGATTTTCTCAGGGTTGAAGCTCATGCTGGTGAGAAAGTGGACAACTGGTCTTGAGCTAGTCAGTGAAGAACAGATAAGGAACAGAATCAAATATAAATTCTTAAACTGAAACATTACAGAAAAAATGTTTTAAGAAAGCCTGGCAGCAAGAATAAGAACTGCGCAGTATTTCCATGGTATTTCACCTGGCCCAAGCCGGCCTATTTACAGAAGTTCCAGTTTCTGCTGGGAACGTTCAGAACATACAAAATCCCAAGAGTCTTAAGGAACAGACAGCCAAAATACACCAATATGACTAGAGTTTCAGAATTAAACACAGTGTTTATGTTTCCATTAGATAAATGCATTATCTAGCTGTTCAAATTCTCTCTTTATCTACAATTTGTTTTCAAATACAACGTGCAAGAACAAAATCAAACCTGTCTGCCATGTCTTAGACTTTGTGAACTCCACGGGTCACTCGGCTACCAGATGTCTAATTAAAAATGATGTACGGTCTGTCCAATTATCTTTTGGTCTAAATGACCTGCGTTCTCAGTGCTGAACTGCAGACATGAAGGCCTTCTTAAGACCTAGATCTCTGTTAATCAGTTCAGGTTCACTATCATAGAATCATAGAATGGTTTGGGTTGGAAGGGACCTTAAAGATCATCTAGTTCCAACCCCCCTGCCATGGGCAGGGACACCTTCAACTAGACCAGTTGCCCAAAGCCTCATCCAACCTGGTCTTAAACACTTCCAGGGATGGGGCATCCGCAACCTCTTTCATACTTGTCCAAAGCTTTAGACATACAAAGGCAGAAGCCTTTGCAACTTGAACTAAAGGCTTTACATTTTATATGATTTCTAGCACTGGGAAATATTTTTTGATGTCCCTCTGATGCTGAATTACAAATAGAAGCATTACACAGGTGCTTGGAACACAGATTCTATATACGTCTTTGAAGCATTTCCCCAGCACACTAAAATGTAGCACTCATTACCTACCGGAGCACAACCACATTCTCCAGTGATCCTACTGTAATATCTTGGAGGCCGTCGTTAGTGCAATCAAAGCCACCATCAATGGATTGTCCAAAATACTGGAGTCCTGAAGAAATTTCAGAGGCTTTTACTCTCTAAAAGCAGGGGGGAACATCAACAAACATGTCAGGATCTCTCTCTTGCCCTTTGGAAAATTTCTTTTCATGAGGCTGCTGTAAAGATGAATTTGTAACACTTGTGAGATGCAAAATACTGACTCTTAACTTCCTGTAATGGATGGGCAGGCTGCAAAAAGCTATGCTGTGTTATAGGCAGCACCTAAATACAGCTCCTTCACATACGCACAGGTGAATAATTACAATTAAGGAGCAGCTCTGCTGCAGAAATCTGTGGAGTCACATAAACCATCTGACACCTGCAAATTTCTCGCCCATCGATGCAAATGAAATGCGGAAGTCCTTCCTCCCAGCCTCTTGCTACAAAAACACGAGCTTTTCCCTCTCAAGGGATAGTGGAGGCAATTCCCAACAAGACACATACTTGAGAAAAAGAGCTCCTGATCTTGTCTTTATCACCATTAAAGATGTAAATGCTGCCAAAAGAGGAACTCTCTAAAAGCTGATCTTCAAGGGGGGCTCCAACTGCAATATCCTCGTATCCATCCCCATTGATGTCTCCAATGCTGGCCAGTGTAAACCCAAACCTCGCAAAAGGAGAGGTCACCTGCACGCTTAAGTGGCCTTCCATGGTGAATGAACCAGTCTGAAACACATCCAAGAAGGAAATGCATTTATAGCAAACGTAGAATGAGTAGCTCTTACATGGGGAAAAAAAAAAAAAAAAGAAAAAAGGTACTGCACACTTATAGTTCATAAAAGTGAACGATAAAGCCTTAAACAATGTAATAAGTTCAAGACACCAGCTGACTCTCACAACAAAAGCTTGATCCTTCTGCATTGAGAGCATGCAAACTCTCCCACAGAAGTAGTGTCTCTGGACAGCCCTATGCAAGCGGACACACTGAAGCACTCTCTTTTCTTAAATCAATAGCGGATTGAGTTGATCCCCAACCTGATTCACAACACAAACCATCCCACGTTCTCCACCCTATTACAGAAATAAGCCACAAGAGGGTGCACGTTATTTGAATTCTAACAGATGCCCAGACTCTTGTTTTCTGCTTCCAGCCATCATATATGTGCTCTGAGCAAATTTTAGCAGTGCACCAAAGAGGGTTTTCTCCTGGTCTGCTGTTAAAACTTCACTTCTCATTCAAAATGATGCAATTAACTTATATCCTGTATATTGTGTAACGGGGACTGTAGCTGGGCCCACAAAACGTTTTGTTTTCTACAAGTCACAGGAAGCAAGCTTTTAGCAGCTACTCATGCACATGTTTATTGCAAAGAACACTGCTTGGCAGAGCAAGGTCTGCACCAACTGCCTACGTACAGGCGAAAGACGTGATTTTATCACACTGTGGTAAGAGCATACCTTGGGTACAAAATGGTTTAATTTCTTTAGTTGTTTATTTTTTATATTCTAACGACTAAGACAGGACCGCTGGCTTCATCCTGCAGTCCTCTACCATACAGGGAGAGCACATTCAGTGAGAGCACAAAGGAGGAATGTTTTATTTGTCACTACTTAGGCATGGTTGGAAAAGCCCCAACATGGAGTGTTTACGCTACCAGTGTTTTTACCTCTGTCTCCAGGCGATAGACGTAAACCCTTCCTTCTTCCCCTCGAATGTGATAAAATGGAGCTCCAACAAGGAGAAGATCTGTCACCCCATCATGGTTCACATCAAGTGGGCAGAGCTCAGATCCAAAATAAGAGCCAACCTGTGCTCCAGAAAAAGACAAGCAGCTCTTTCACTGGAATTCTCTATATATAGCTTTGTAGAATTAGTGTCCTTTGCAGCAGTAAGGCAATTTTTAGAACAAAACATCACATATCTACTTATATGTGGATCGTTTCCCTATTATTTATTTTATTACAGCCATCCTCAGGGACAGATCCTGCAACCAGTTTAGCAGTAACAAAATCATTACTCAACAATTTGACAGTGGAAAAAGAATACCACAGTTAATGACCTCTTTCCCCATGAGCCATAAGAACAGAACATAAATATAGCACACCCTATTTAACTCAATTTCTTCCCAGTCTTTTTTCCAAATTTCATGATTTCTTACAACATTCCCAAAGCATTATGGAGCAAACAGGACTCTCTAATCCACATCTGGCTAAATGGGACGGTTGTGTAAAGGGTGTAAGTGTGTCTGGAGGAGAAAATACAGCTGCTGTTTGATGAAACGAGATGTGTGCAGCCTACTTGACCCCTACTGACCCACCTGCCCTGGGGTGAGTGAAGCACAGTACCTGTTCTCCTTGCAGGGTTTGTTTTAAACGGCCATCCTGAAACACCAACACCTTCCCTCTCATGCTGTGCCGTGGAGCTCCAGCCACGTACAAGGGCCCGTATTCTGTGCGTACCACTGCCACACTGTACCCTGGTGCATTCACACAAGAAGCAAAAATAGTGTACATTAGCACTACTGCACTCTCTATGACTGAAGGAAAAAGCCCACAGTTTGGTCTGAGACACAGACCTACACATTCAGTGAGATCCAAGAGTTCACACCATGTCAAGTTGTTGTGGCCCGTGGTTTTGATTACAGAGCATCTCATAAAAATATTGATTAGGAAATAGCAGGTAACTTTTCTGAGGGAAAAGCCAGCAAAGCTGAGGTTTTCCTCTCTTAGCAGCTTGTAGGATAATAAAATAAATTACTGCTCTGAAAAACATGCGTGAACTCTTGATGACTTTTCTTAGCATTTGTCACAGTTCCTGAGTGATTATCCAACATATACACTTTTTTCTTTTTAATTATTATGTCTGCAAGCTGGAAGGTTTGTCACCCTTCACAAAAGTGAAGAAAACACTATACTCTGTATCGAAAGCAAAAAGACATCTGTAATGGGGCGGTAACGGGAGAAGGATTATCCTGACACAGTCCACAGCACCTCATGTTACCTGGTAAGACCTTAAGGCCAAAGCTACAGTTGGAAGATTCAGGGCTCATGATGCTACAAAGCACTGGGGGGAATAAGTAAGGCTTTATTTGTCACCAAGCCAAGAACAGTATTGATTCACAATGATTCACAAGCTATTTCTTCTCCAGACACTAACAAGTGAAATATTTATCCTTATCAGCTCTCAGAAATGCCCTTCATTGCAAGTACTCTTACACAGTGAAACCAAATGGCGTGTGTTAACAAAATAATACCACAAGGCATCAAAACTCATAGGAGAAAGCAAGTCATGTCTTCCTGACAATAAGGAGACAGACAGTGTTTGCATCAGAATCTCTCTCCCTGCTAGAGAAAATACTCAAAATCCAGTAAGATGCTGCAGGAGGTAGTAGCCACGTCTTCAGGTAAATGCTGTCAGTGTCGGCACACTCTACTGAACACAAACAAACTAAGCAAAACTGCAGTCAGGTTGTCATTTGATCTCAGAGCGAGGTAAGCTGATTACCTAGGTAACTGTATTTTGCTTTTTTGGCTTCTTCTTTAGATTCATTCAGGAAAACAGCTGTCTTGGTTGCCAGATCATACAGCAGAATTCCACCAGACCAGTCAAAGGCCCCCACTGCACCAAACATTAAGACTTGCTGCAGAAGTAACATACTGCAAATTAGAAGAGATGAACACAGGGCAAATGCCTCTAGCGCTCCACAAAGCGGTTTAGAAAGGAGCAATGTTTTCTGGCTTACAAGTCATGCACTCTTTCCTGGACTCTGTAGCTTGGGCACTTCTACCAGCTGCTGCCAGATACTGAAGACCAACAAGGTGACTACCCAGCATCAGAGAAGCAGCTGAGCTGCACATCTCCCAGCTCACTACACGAGGTTTCTTTGCAAAACTGAATCAGTGTTGTCCTTGCAGCCAAGGCTTCTGAATGTTAATTAGCCTCCTCAGAAGCCACTGTTTTCCCCTCCTGGCAAGGACAGAGATCATTCTTGCCCTAGGTGGACCAAGGTTTTAAGCCAGAGGATTCTGAAAGAGCAGAATTATTTTGTTTGCAGCATGATGGAGCCCCCAGCTTGTGCACTGGAAATGTAACTGCCAGTAAAATCAAAGCTGTCAGCTGGAGATAGCTCTTTTGTCCAGTGGAATAAAAAGGATCCAGTGGTTAGAACAGGGGTCACGTGAGATAAATCCCATCCTAAAAGAAAATTCATTACTAACTGACTATATAAAAGTGCTATTTTTGCTTATGTGACACATTCAAAGCAAGCAGTAGTTTGCAAAGGAGATTTGATTACATCAGTCTCACACTCTTGTATCACCATCATTTCTTTTGGGAGACCTCCTGAATCCTTACAAGTATCTGAAGGATACTTGTATGAAGCACAGATACAAGAGTGCTGAAGCAGCAGCACAGCACACAACCATTTAGCAGGGTTAGATGCAGAACACTTACCTTATCCAAGATTTGCACATTGAAACCAGCTTGTGCAAGCTCATATTCCAGAGCATCACCCTGCATACCTGAGGATGCAACAGAAACAGGGTAAGCCATTTTCTCCTTATTTCTCAAAAGGTAGTAATGAAATAGAAAGATTGCTGTTTACCTTCTATACCAGTAATACTCTGCTGCAGGGTTGAGAGCAGCCCATCTAATGCTGAATAATTGGTCACCTGAAATACATTAGTGTCATCTGGACCAGATGCAATTAGGCGCAATTCATTTAGGGCCTTTGGTTTTTTGAAGGCATCTCCCACCTGCAGAAGAGATGCAAATCAATCAAAAGAAGCAAGCTTTAGAGTCTCCTTACCCCCAGCTACTTCATTTGACAGTCTGTGGTGGTAAAAACCTTAGCTTCAGCCACTATGTGTAAACCCAGAAACAGCAATTGCTTTGGCAGTCAATGAACTGGACAGGCTCAGTGTCTCCTGGAGCCAAACCTTTACAAAACCTCTTCATGTAACTGGCTGGTGCTGTATTTGGTGTATATACCTTTGTTGTACCCTACAATTAATTTTGAAAATAAATAAATTACAAGACATCATAAAATTGAACATTTTCCTGTCCTGAAAGAATGAAAAGAGATAGCAGAAAGATTATTTCAGAAGACATATAGCATGGCTGAAACCAAACTTCAGACTTCAGGACAAAGCCTCGTTGACAAACTAACACACACATTATTCCTTATTTACTGGAACCATGCATGGATCAGTTTCTCCTTTCCTCTGCCCCTGGTGCTACCAAGAAATGGAAGGAAGACATGATCCAAGTACATTCCCAACTCACCCCAATGGCATAACGCTCAATTCCTGCCATTTTGGGTGAATTTATCACTGTTGTCAAGTTCATTTCATCCAGGAGTATTTCCCCATCTGTAAGCACAATCATGACCTTGGCTGCATCCTTGTGGGACCCGTGACTTTCGGTGAAGATAGAATCCCTGGTAAAACATCAAAACAAAGAACTTGGGAGGAAAGTTGAAGCTTCTCTCCTTGGGACAGAAGGAAGAGTCCTGTTGAATTAAGCACTTGGGACTAACAGTCACAGCAAGGAGGTAAGAGAATTTCTTTGATATTCACACATCTTAAAAATACCAGGTGCTGTCTCCCTTTCTATTGCTTCCTGAGCACCCCCACACCAAGAATTAGGCACCAACAGCTGGCTTTTATAACCCTCTAAAACATGGCACAGGAACTGCTGCCTGCCACTCAACCATTGCCAAATAAATGACTGCTTTCAGGACCTGAGTTCCATAGAAGTCCCCCTCCCTTACTCATAAAATGCCCCAGAAATTCATCCCCTTCATTTCTTGGGCTCTTTTCTTTGTTACTTACAGGACATGCTGCATGGCAGACGCTGTTTTTGTCACATTGCACACCTGTACAATATCAAGTACTTTCTGGAGGGTGGCACGAGGATCCCAGTTTTCTCGCAGGTCAAACTCAGTTCTGATTTCAAACCCATACTGTACCACTGCAAAATTGCACTGGAAGGAAGGAGCAGATAAGCACCTGCTTGTGACAACTGTTGATTCAGATAAAGAGTGTTCTCTGCAACAGAAATCCCACAGAAAGAGTAGCCAGACTATGCAGAAAGGAAGATTTTGTTCACGAGAAACTGGCTCTTAAATATGTCCAGTGCAGACACAGAGATTGCTGTAAGTACATAATAGCTGAGGAAAATGAAAGCACCATCAGCACAGAGAGAAAAATTGTTTTGGGAAATACTGATTTGTTTTTAAGTCCTTGCATTTTCCTGCTGTGTTTGGCCCATGTGCAGGTTGCAGAGGGGATTATCTGTGAAATCACTGAATTGTTCTTTCATTGCTCCCTGCTGCACACTGTCTTTCCTTGGAGTGCTCCTATTCCATGATGATCTGATTATCAAAGACACTCTGGAGAATGGGACCATTTCTTCATTTTGTATTTGCATAACACATAACCTAACGTTTCTTTCTTCCACTATGCAAATAACAAGTTAAAATATGCTGGCACTTGGAGCATTTGAGAGGTAGAGACTTTCCTAAAGTCAGTGTGCGGATCACACTTCTTAGCCTCAGCAGAGAAAGCAGTAGAGTACCTTTGTGCAGAATACGTGACTGGAGCTAACAAGACTGGTAAGGTGCACGGCTGAAGAGGCAGTCTAACTGGTGCTTCTGTGATTGCAGGTACAGAAGTTACAATACAGGAATAGAGACAGAAAACCAAAAGAAAGTCGTGACTGTCACCTTACAAGGCGCTTGCTGGGCTCCAAGCGTGGCAGTGTGGCAGAGCTACAGATTTGTGAGCATAGAAATCAGACTTTTTATATTTACAGTGTTCTTGGGATCAAGACTGGGAATGTACTGCTAAGATGTAAGCAACATTATGTTGAGAATACATGCAAGTTGTGAAAATACTAATGGAAACAAACCTGCATAGTCCCAAATTCTGGTGAAGAGGCAGCTTAAATAAAGCACAGCACATCTTTAGGCTGCTAAAGAGAGTAGAGAGTACCTCAAAGCACTTCTTATACAGTGTTTTCATCATCTTGTGGATAAACGCTTTCGCTCTTTCAAAATCCTCTGGCTCGATGCTCCCTGATCCATCCAGAATAAAAGCAATCTCTGTTCCAGAAGCTGCCCAGGATATGAAAAGTAAAGGAAAGAGAAGGCGGCAATCAGAGTTTTGGTCAGGACCAAGTTCTTTATCCGGTGTTATCGATCAAAGCACACGTAATCTCACTCAAACAAGCAAATGAACTGCACCAAGACTGCTCAACTGTCATTTCAGCATGAGCCACAGCTCCGGTCTGGCAGCTCATGGTACAGCAACTCCCCAGACTTTGTCAGTCCATGACAGTCCATGGCATGATTCTGTTAAAAGATACTTCGCCACGTACGCAAGCCATTTTCCTCCTCCTCTTCTTTGTCCTCCTCCACCCAGGAAGGCAGCTTGCTGTCACCACTGTCATTAGTGTTTCTGTGCTCTGGTGCATCAGTTGGAATATTTTCAGCTGAAACAGGAAACAAGTTTGAGCAAAGATGACAGGGCAGTGGGAGAGAAAGCAAAAGGTGAATGAAAACCTTGCATTCTTGCCTATGCAGTGTTCCTGCACCTTGCTGCCTGGCAGCTGGACTCTTCCTCATTCCTGCAGTCAGGAATTGCTGTCAGGCGCAAGACTACAGGTGCTATGGAAGTATTTGGGAATTTAGGAGGCCATGGGGGTCAGGACTCCATCTTAAAACTACAGCTATAGTTCAACAGAAGTAAACTGCTCTGAGCACACCCAGAAGTTTCTGTTTCACAACAGAAACACTGGCCATGCAGTAAATGTGTGTATTGTAAAGCACCTATTGCAGCCCGTCTCTCTGTTCATACTGACGTTATGGCTGCAGGTCACAGATACAGAATATGATCTCTTGTCCTCGTGGTTGGTTGGCTGAGGAGGACTGTTACTAGCGTAACAGAAATCACTTTTATTTGTTTTGCTGTTGCTGGGCAAGTGACTACAAGAACAGGCTAAGATCTGGAGATGTATTTACATTCCTTGAGCAATGAAACTACCCACCATCACAGATCCACTCTATAAGCTACAGAGAAGATAGATGTGTCAGGAGTCAGATTTCTTCTACCTGAATCCTTCAGGGTCTCTCTCTCCAACTCTGAAAGGAAACTGTCAAAATCTTCATATGTGGACAGCACGAACCATTCACTTCCAACATTCTGCAACTCTTCTGGGACCCACTGGTTTCTAATGAACTCTCCAATCTAGGGAGAAAAGCCATCAGACGGGGAGATTGAACATGTTTCGTACACAGACAAAAAACCCAACAGATTCCCAAACTAGCAATAAAAACCTGAAAGCCCTGAAAAGAGAGGGAGTTTTCTGAAAGCTTGGTAAAGCAACCCTGATCCTAGATGCCATAGAAAGCCCTTATTTGCAAAAACAAGCTAATAAAAGCTCTAGATCCACAAGACATATACAACAAGCATCTTTCATTCTAGGACATATTCCTTAACCTCATCCAAAATAGGCTCTCTGGCATCAAGAAGATGGAGGCCTGGGTGAATTGAGGGAGCCCGGGCATCTCAGGTTGGACACCCTGCATGTCTAATGCATGACTACTTTTTCTTCCACCCATTGCTAAAGCATAAGAGCAGACACATGGGATTGAGGGAATCATCACTCCTCTATATATGTGCTTTGATGCAAAAAGGTGTAGCTTTGATGGTGCTTCCCACTCACCTCAGGAGCATAGAGTTTGACCATAGCCATTTCCAGGGAGTTCATCACATTTCTCAATCTATGGTTGTCCAGAAACACTTGCTCAGATGCCATGACAATGATTATCTTGTCACCAGTCTGGCTGGAGCCATGGCTTTCATCAAAGACTTTATCCCTGTGGAAACAGAAGCCTAGAGGTATTTCATGGGACAAACCACATCTGCAGAGCTAGAAATGTCGGTGTTGGTGGCAGGGTGCTGCTGTTCATTGAGCTCACAAGAGTACAGACATGCAAGGCAAACGTGCACAAAGATTTATGCTTTCCAGGGACGTTGGCTGTCCACAACTGGTAGCTCTGACTTCACAAGCACTTTCACAAGTGCATATGGGGCATTTTTACAGTGTGGATCAGAATTGTTAGAGTCGTGCTACTGAGAAGAAAATGGAGTCAAGAGGGAAAGCATGACTCCCAGAGACGCAGCAGAGCAGTGAAAAAGATGGGAAAGGCCTCGGGTCTACAAATGACCACATGCTTAAGGCAAGACTCAGGTGACTGAACTTTCATTCTGAAGCCCCTGCATCAGCCAGGAAGGATTTCACACTTTGCCTCTTGGCAATTTCTCCTTGTGGACCTGATGGTCCCCCAGATTCATTCACAGGGCTCAGCTGGCAGAGCCTGTCACTAAGAGAAGCATTGGAAAGGGAGCAAGAGAAAGAAGAGTAGAGAGGAGGTGCAGGAGGCTGGATTGGTGAAACACAAGGAATCACTTGAGTGTTCCTGGAGCTTCTTGAGACACATGAACTCACAACACATGCTGCAGTGCAGCTGCGATGTCAGTCCGTGAGCTCTGTTGCTTGATGTTTCGGACTTTGAAGAAAGCAGTTAGTCTGTCGCAGCTTTCTTGCAGGCTCAGTTCAGTTTGGATCTGTGCTCTATGCTGCACCACAGCAAACCTGATCTGGAGAAAGCAGATGGCAAAGCCAGAGCTGGTTAGACGAGATCTAAGGCAGGATCCCTAAGTCCCTCAGAGTGCCATGTTTAGTCCCAAACTTTACTGCACAAACACAGAAAGCAGATATTGCAAGTCATAGGTAGACAACTGCCTTTATCCCTCTGTCTCCATCACACATTTGTATTCTGGTGACCCCTTTTGGATCAGTTCCAGGAACTGACTTCATTTTCTTTGGCTCAAGACAACGATTCCTCTGTCTGTATTTCCTGCATTTATCTATCTGGCTAGACCTTTCATGACCATGTGGCTCAGCCTCACTTTGTCCTCAGATTTATTTAAATCATTTAAAGTAATGGCTTATAAGCTTCACTCCTTATTTTTGTGTGTACTGCTTCAAGGTGCCCTGAGAGATTTGCCTGGTAAAATATCTAAGCATGCTTCTGGCATGAAAACCCACTCCTAGCTCTTTCACTTCCCTCTTCAGCTGCTCCTCCTTGGCTCACAAACATTTAACTCTTGCATTAGAATAGAATTATTACCAGCATCACTGTGAAGTTTAAAAAGCAATAATTATGTGAACCAGGAGACTTTCCATTCTTCATTAGAACTCTGATCCATCCTGCCTATCAGGTTATGAGACTCTAAGGAGGTTCACACACCTTCGAGCATTTCTGCCACATTGACTTCATCATACTGAGGATAGATGTCTTGGCATTTTGGAAATCATCTGGCTTGGTGTTCTCTGATCCACCCAGAATGACAGCAATCTCTGTTCCCAGTTCTGTCAGTGCAGTTAAATGTAAGAGGACGTTTGAAGGGACACTTAAACAGCATAACATTCAACAAGAGTTCAAGAACATTGGCATATTATTAAACAACAAAAAACTTGACTACAGCACCATCCAGCCAGTCTGAAAGCAGGTCTAGCTGAAGATGTGGTCTATGCTGTAGTGACAGGTTTTATTTTTAAAAAAATCTCAGTGAACGATGACTGTAATAATGACTGAAATTTGCCATTGCAAATAACCTTCAAAACCTCAACCTTTTCTTCCCCAACTCTCTCTCACCAGATGAATGCAAGCTGCTTCAAACTCAGCTAATAAAGAAAGAAGTCATGCTTGTTCATGTCCACTACCCACCTTTGCACATGTGGTTGTTCCCTGTGCTGCCAAAGAGCTCACCACAAGCACCGCTGGTGTTGTCTGCGCTGACAGAGCTGCTGGTGTCGCTAATCTTTTCTCTGCTGTTTTTACTTGGAATGCTGTTTAATTTGGTCTCAACTAGAGAATTTAAAAAGCAAGAACAAAATACACTCTACCTTTTGAAAATACTCTTCTAATTAACACACCTTAAACTCAGGATCTGTTTCCACCCAGGTTCCCAAATTTGCCGAAGACCTGAGGATCAGACTGTTCATAGCAGTTAGACAACTGAAGATGGAACGAGACCATCTAGGTGTCTAATTTAAACTTCTTCGCTTCTTTGCAGTGACTGCAAGATGCAGAGCAAGGCTAAACAATCAGACCAGCTCTCTGCTCCCTTGATTAAATGCCCAATGGCCCATAAAATTGGAAGGAGCAGCCTTGAGTGCCCAGGCATTTTTAAAAATCCCACTGGATTTTGTCACATCTGTCCACTAGGAATGTCGATGCTTTTCTAAATTCTGGCTTAAGAGCTGCATCTTTTGAATGCATGGGACACCACAACAGAAAATCCCTGCTGCTGTGTGCTAGTCTTCAAGGCTGAACCTTGTAACCCTGCTGAAGTCAGTAAAATACACATCAAAATTCAGTTTTTAGTCTCTCCCAGTAGACTGTAGACCTTGCTGGCTAGGAACTCAGAAGGCCCCTGCTATTAGAGCAGTGCCTCGTGCCATTATTTCTGTCCCTCTGCACAGGCACAGTACTGGCTTTGCTCCTATACCCATCTTGGTGAGGTTGAGGAAAGCTGTGCTGCGCAAGTCAGCAGTGAGCAGAGTACAGACTCCGTTCATATCCTCCGTAGTGGTGAAGGCTCGGCGGTGCTTCTTCTGCAGGCAAGCCTGTGGGGACAGCAGGGAAGGCTAATGAATGATGAGCAAAACTGCAGGATGACTGAAGATGCCATCTGAAAAACATTCAGCATCCCCTGCACAGCGCTGAAAGCCTAGTGAGAGTAAAACAGCACCTTCCCTGGTGTGAGCCCTGCCACATGAGGTTACCCAGGACTTCAGCCCTGCGCTGGAGCAAAGAGTTGGGCTGGAGGGCTCACCAGACTGAGATGTTAGCCTCCAAATCAGTGGCTCTCCTAAGACTCCTCTGCCAGTCCTCCCTTCTCCTATGAGTGGGAGTGGCTGCAGTGAAGTACAAGGTCTACTGCAGTCCTCAGCTGATGAGAAGGGCCCTTCTCAGTTTTTTCCTCGTGGCAGGCAATGCACCAGCTGGCTTTGCAGACAGCCAGTATCCAGCCAAGAGCTTTCAGCCTTTGTCCTTCTGTTATGTCTGCTCATTTGCATTTTCCAGCAAAAATACAGACCATTTTGGAAAAAATACAGTCATTCCCAGCCATAGATATTTTCAGTCCCTTACCAGGATCCAGTCTGAATTCCTGTCGATAGCTATGCCACCATCCTGGATGTTTTTGGAGCCTTTAATCTTTCCTGAAATTGAATGAATAATTGAATGAATGAAGGAGAACAAAATTGAAATGGATACGGTACTTGTCAGCCTTGGGCAGACAGATTAAATACGGAGAAAGGCTACAACTGCTGAGGTCAGCTGTATCTGCTCTTCTAGAAGATCAACTCAGAATTAATGTTATCAGCAACTGTAGCAGTGTTGACTATAGTGGAAACAAAAAACTTTGGCTTGTATTCCAGCAAAGTTTAGGTGAAGACTTAAACAGAAGAGGTCTTGCAGCCTCCAGACACATCACTCCCAACACTGGGACCGTGGGTTTGCACTTCCCTGATCTGAGGGACCTAGCAGCATGTCCAGGTCTCTCTGAAACACCTCTGCACTCCCTTTTGCCCATGGCAAAGCAAGAATTGGGAAGGGGATGCGGGACCGTACCTCGCAGAGGTATCTCCTGGCACTGGATCTCCTCCTGCAAAACAGTGCACTTCCTCAGCCTGCCCAGCCCCTTGTCTACTGAGGAAGTAACCAAAATCCTGTGGAATGAGAAAAAAGGTGGAGAAGAGGGAAGGTGCACAATCAGGCAGAGTCCTTTGGCAGTGCAGAGTGCCAAAAATCATCTGTGTGCCAGGGTGGCCACTCATTATTCTGATAATGTCTCTTAATTAACTGGGCACCAGTGTGGTTTTGAGTTGAATCAGCCACTAAGAGAAAAACACTTATTTTCTCCCACAAATCATCATCCTTCCCATTATCTAAACTATGAATTCAGGAGAGCTATCCCAGACCAAGGAAGAGGTCTGGAAGTGACCTGCCCATAAAGGGGAAGGTGCAGCAAGGAAGTCCAACCACCGTACTAGGAAACGGCAGCATTGCTGTATGAAATGGAGATTGTTCTTTGAGTCAGCCAATTTCTGCTCAGGGGCTAGAAAAGTTTCTATGCTCTAAAACTTAAAATACGCTGTCTGCTCCACAGCCTGAGCAAGCTGCTCAGCATAATATAGGTTATCTCTATAGCAACTACTTGTGATGGGCTTCTGTTCACCAGCCTAGCCATCCATTTCTCTTCCCTTACAGACCCAATAATCAAAATACAGCAGTTTCCAACCCTTTATGGTCTTCAGACCAAGCTCACAACATATTCTTGACAGCAGGTGGATGCAGTGACTGCTGCAGCCCCAGCAAGGATGCAGTATGCGAGGAAGTACTGCAAAAACCCAGCTGCTTCTTTCTGCCATTTGGTTAAATGAGCAGACATCCTTTCTGTACAGTGCCACGACTTAGCTGTGGGTGAGGGGAGAAGCATCGTGAAGACTCACAGTTCTGACAATGTACACCCTCACAGTGATGAAGCTCTAACACCGCCCATCAGCCCCTGAGAACTGAGGAACAATTCTGGGTCCCAGGCAGAGGAACCTGTGCTAACAGTTGTAGAAAGCGAGGTGCTACATGACCTCAGGCTATGTGCATTCATAAGGAAGTCTGGGTATGTTTTTCTTTCTTCTGTTCCTTACATGGTTGTGTTCCCATCCGAGTGCTGAAGAACCGTGGGCCACAGCAGAGAGGCTGTGTGTGGTGTGATCCACGTCTTGCCAGTGTCAACATTAAAGCTCCTCAAGGACTTGACCACTGGAAACAAATAAATAAATGAGTGTAGACGGTGATCTGTAGAGTCACAGTTAACAGGCTCTTGAGCCAGCTATCCCTGAACCCTGCCCACCATGGCAGCAGAGGCAGCTGGTGGGAGGAAGATACCAAGCTATGGAGATTTCACTGATTTAGATTAACAAAGGATTTTCTTGCCCAGCCTAATGAAAAATAAAGTACCGCACGTCCTGTTGTTCTGCTATGAAAGTCCATCTTGGATATCACAAAACATTCCTACTAGCTGAAGCTCACAAGTCTGTGTTTAGGCAGGAGAGGAAACAAAACTCTAGGTTTTGTGCAAGTGGTGCCACTTCAGGGTGGCACCAGTGGATTCACTTCTTGTAAAGTTGATATTCAACAGACCGGGAGACTGAAACCCATGAGATTAAAGAATAAGCAGTTTAGGTAGCAGCTGGGATTATTCCCCACAAGAGTAGGGTTGCCATAAACGTGGTAAGAGAACATATATTTTGTGGGATGATAACAAAAATCTCAAAGCTTGGCAGCAAGGGAGCAAATTGGTGCCAAATGTGATGGATACTCTGCTGAGGATGAAGCTCTGCTAAAAGTCCAGTAACTTCTCAAAATAGATACAAAATAGCCATAAGAAAAAAGAAAAAGAAGAAAAACTTCTACGCATTACAGAGCTGTAACTGAATTGGGATCCTAAAGGCAACTTTTTTTCCTGCATGAATGCACTTTTACTTGCAAGGCAGCCCACAAAAAAGTTTTAGCTGTAAGACTTTTACTTGCAAGGCAGCCCACAAAAAAGTTTTAGCTGTAAGACTCTGTGGCAAGCCAGCCCTTATTTCTGTTCACACTTCAACTCTTCATTTCTTTAAATGTGTTAACGTCAGTAAATGCACAGGCTGGAAAGATAAATATACTTGTCTCTAAGTGACAGACTGAAAATGTCACAAAGTAGGATGCCTGAAAGGCAAGCTACTATACTTGCTGTAATTTCAAGCACTGAGCCGTACTGTATCACCAAACCTCTGTCAGTCACAATGCAACTTTGAAAACTCCACACTAACCTCAGGAACAAGCCCAAGTGACTCCGATCACAAACTCTGTCCCTGTTTGAAACTAGAACAAAAGAAAAGTACAAAATCTGAATTTCACAAATTACTCCAGCCTAAAATCCCTGCTTTGAATGCCCAACTCCAAGTCTAGAAGCTGTAGGCTGACTCTGCATTTAAACACACAGTCTAGCATTTCTCCTATAAACTCTGATATAGTAACAAGAGGTCAAATTCTGTCCTTGTGTCCATCTAGAGTCTTTCCTGATTCTAATTTTACTCAGAGCTGAATCTGAGCTTATGCAATCAATTCTATGTCATTTCCCAGCCTGGCTATGAAAGCACAGGTGAAAGTATTGAAATATCGCAGTTGGAGCAATGACATGAAACGTGCAAACAGTGTGAACTGTTAGTCTTTGCTTCTGCTTCCTGAAATGCTCCATACTTCAGGCACACGGCATGGATCCCTTTCAGAACGAAGGTACACCATCCCGACCTACCACCTTGCCTTGCAAATCCCACTTTACCAGTTAAAACACCAAAATTAACTCAGAGATGCTCCTAGGCATCTGTGTATGTTTCCACTGCAAGACTATCAGCCTAACGATACCACGCATTTACAAAGGCTTCCAGCAAACTTCTTTTAAAACAAAACCAGAATTCCAGATACACTGGAACAAGCTCCCTGGGAAGTTCAGTCACCTTTGAAGTCAGGGACAATTCTCAAGCAGGCAACAAAACTTAAAAACAATGGCCAGGGACCTAACCTCACTCTTGTGAATATTCCTGTGCCCGTATGGGATTTAGCCTGGAACCGGAGGCTCAATTCTGCACTTAGTTCTGCTGCTGCCATCCTGCCAAGCCAAGTGATTTGAACTTTTTGCTCCTGAGTCCCTGTTCACAGGCATTTCCAACACAGAGGATGCAGGGGGGTTTAGCACTTTAGTTATTGAAATTAAGTGCACTGTACTTAAATGGAATAAAACCCACACACACACGTCAGTGTGTGTTCCTGACTAGCCAACTACAGAGACAAATTATCTGTAGAGTTTAGATGCTCAGCACAGATCTGCTAGATTAATTCTAAGATTACCGAGACCCATCAGGTCAGACAGCTACATTTTTCTGCATTACCACTTTCAAAAGTAAAACCCACAAATAAAAATAAAGGTTGCTAGAGAAGAGCGATAGAAAAGATCAACAGAATCACACAAGGATAGAAGCCTCCACCAATGACTCCATCTTAATTTTGCATAAGCCAAATCAAGAAAGATGAAGATTTGAGAAAACATCAGTAAGTTCTGTGGGCATAATCATTAAGGATTTATGTTTACAAAGCTAGGAGCTACCTAGCATAATGACAAGCATGAGAAGAAAGATATTAGCAGAAATAATATATAATCATACAACACGTAAAAGTCAAACCTAAGTAAGGAAAACAGTAGAACATAAATCTTGGTGTTAAATCTAAAATCAAAGCAAAGCAAGCTACAGAGAACTTGATGGGCATCTCATTGATAGAATAAAATTCATGACAATTTTTTCCCAAACACACTGGAAGCATAAAGCTTGTCAGAAAGCCTACGAGGGCATGAAATGAATACTTAAAGAATAATATTCTTTCTGTACAGATGGAGTAGATACGTATGGTAATGAGTCTTTTGAAAAGGGAACCAGACAAACAGAAATTCTATCATACAGAATCAAACTAGCATTTATTTGTGGAGTTGCTGGAAGAGGGGCCAGTAACATCCCCAGTGCAGTTGTCCATTGCTTGAGCTAATAGAGTAGCAGTGCCACAGGGTTACCCTTTCTGGGTAGTTAAGAGAGAAATTTGTGACAGAACTGTCCCCACGAGGCTACAGAATGACGTGGATGCAGACTGTGACTCAGGAAACATTCCTTCTAATCTGTACTTATGCTTTACTTGACACAAACTTATGTTACTTGACACAACAAGGCAAAAATTTGTGGGAAGTCTCTCTCTGACAGCGCATACTGCTGAATCCAAGGTGTATCTAAAATGACACTAGAAAGGGAAGAATATAAAAAAAATCTCACCTACGTTCTACTCTCACCTACTTCACTACAAGCAAACAGACAAACAAATAAAAAACTATAAAAGGCCAAACACAGCTTGTTAGCTTTGTATTTGAGAGCATAATTTCACCAGGCAGCCAGTTTTTTCCCACTAAGGATGAACTATAAAACTCTCTCCACACAAATGTATGAATTTCTCTGAAATAGTAGAAAAACACATCACAAACTAAGGACTTCCCATACAAATCCAAACATCCTGAACTTTCTACATAAGAATCGTTTTGTTGGCTCACATTAAGGGACCAAGCCGAGTCTCCAGAAATTACTTTGTTTCTGGACGAAGACTTTTATTTTCTAACATATGTAAAACAAATAGAGAGATAAGACTCACTCATTAGGAAGAACAGATACAGGAGCAATCTCATTGTTCCCAGCTTTACGGTGAAGGAAAGAGGAGGGCTGGAGGTATCAGGCAAAAGCTGCTCTCTTCCTCTGATGATTCTCCAGATCTGCATGCCTCATTGTGCTTGCTGAGACAGTGACTCTATTGTGGATTTCCTAACTGAGGTTTCAAGGCGTACACTAGTGACATTTTAATAAAACTGCAGATGCAACGATCTGCTAAAAGGTAAACTTGTGTTACTGACAGGTAGTTTTTAGCAGTGTCTCCATCTCTGTCCATCAGCATTCTTTAGTATACCTAGAACAAAAGGATCTGTCTGGAGAAGTCGCTAGGGTCTATGTTTGTACTGTCCATCTACCTTGTCCTTTGGTGCTTGCTACGGGGACATGCCATCAAAATGTGCAAGCAGATTGACTCGAGTGATCTCACAGCAGGGATTTAAGAGAGATGTCAGCTCTCAGATGTCACTCATAGTAATTTTTTTAATGCAGGTGTTCCCCCCCGAGCTCACACGCACACAGCACTTGGTGTTCCCCTTTTATTTTGTATATTATTGGTGTCAGAAACAGTGACATTTCAGGGCAGGATGCCCAGGGTACGTGAAGGGATTCTGCACATCTCTTCTCCCCTCTAGCAACAATTCTTTGGTTTCTATTGATCCCTTGTTCCTCTGTACTGTTCACCCTAGTCTGGACCAGACTAGCACAGAATTACTCCCTAATAGTTCATACTATCAGAGTACTGTGTAGCAAGTATTATTTGGATGTAGTGTGTTGTTATTACAAGTGCTAAAGGAGCTGAAATAGCAAATACCGAGCAACCAGAAGAGTTAACTGCATAGCAAATCCTTTTGGAAGCAGGAGGGAAGCCGTTCCAGAGATGCGGTTCTCTTCACCCAAAGAGTGTAAATTTTCCAAGCACTGTCAGAAAAGAGCGGAACAAATCACACACTTGCTAGCAAACTTCCAACTCTCTTCCTCTAAGACTCCCTGTGTTTAAAACATTTGACAATCATCCTCACAGTCCAGAAATGCTGTAGCATTCTACATCTCACAAATCTGAACTGAAAAAAGTTTATGTCAAAAGAGAAAGCGAAGCAAACACTGTTCACACTCAGATTTTAGTAACAGTTTGGTGTCAGCCCCAAGGCAGCAGCAGTCACGTCTTTCTGAGGCCTTCCCTGGTCCGGTCTGGCCCCACTTTTACCCCACTGCTGAAGCAAATGTGAGGTTGCAAAGTGGAACAGTTTTCTTTTAAAATGTCTTTTTTTCTCAATTTTATTTTCATTATAGTACCAAAGCAGGAAATGAAATTTCTTAAATGCAGCAAAGAAGAAGAAAACTGGTAACTACCCACAGGAACAGTCCAGCTGAGAAATCTGCCAGTTGCACTGCTTCAGAAATAGCTCTTTGTGGCTTATGTAGACCTACATAAAGTATCTGTTCTTCGTCTGAGCCCTTTTGCTTGTCACATTTCAAAGACTCCTTTTGCTCACTACAGAGGCAATGGAAAGTATGTTCAGTTACAAGTGGGGTCACGAAGAGATGAAGAGAGAGGGAATCAACCAAGACAACCTCCCCATACTGGCTTCAGCTTCAGAGCATGCTTTGAAAAAAGCGGGGGAAAAAAACCAACAATAAAATAAAACGTGCAAAGCATTTGAGGAACAAGAAAGTCTTGCTTCCACTTATACCCCTGAGGAAAATGTCCTTATGGGGAACTGGGAAACATACAAACCAGACATGAAGTTTCTGTTAAGAAAATTATACAGATAAGTGTGGTGTCTTTTCTTCATGGCATGGCTGGGCCGTCAGAGTCTCCATGGCTCATACATACAGAGTAGACAGAGGAGAGAAACTACAGCTATTCCTTCACTGATGTTCGTGAAAGGTTTCTGAGTTGTTTTCTGGTTTTGGTTTAGTTTTTTTCTCAGATGAGCCCTGCAAAGCTTCCCCATTTGCATAGGGACGGGATACATGCAGGTGGGTTTATCTGTCACAAGAGGTAGAAGGGAGAGGGCACGTCATCCGTTGATAATTTCTTGTGTAATGACTGAAGCGTTTCCTGACAAAATATTATGATCTATTAAGAGTGGATCCCAAAATCCTGTTGGGCCTTCAAAGCTATGAACCAGCTTGTAAGTCCTTCCTCTTGCAAGGTACTGCAGACATCCCACAAAATAAACCCCAGGCAGCCTTCCTGTTTGTAATGTGACCAAAATGGGAAGTGGTTCAGATGGTGAAACCCAAGGGGAGCCTCGTGCATTAAGAATACAGAAGACTGGGAGGTTACTGATATTAACCTCAATAGTGCTGACTCACCTCTCACTACAGAGAGGTTGTAACTCCTCAAAAATCTCCTTTTTTCCATAGCACATCAAAGAACTGTACAGTGCAGTGCAGCTTGGGCACTGCTAAATCTTCTGCCCAACCTGACACATCTGTTTGCTGCATGTGCCTGTCTGCTGTCCATCATCCTTCATGAGCTTGAGAGGTCTGGAACTGGTGGTCTGTGGCGTGACTGTGAAGCACAAGGAATGCCAAGGCCCTGGTTCACAGCAGACACTGGATATTTAAGAACATTTTTGGTGCAGATCAAAAGAAAATCTAACACTGCAAGCTTAAGAAAAGGATTTAAAGAGAAGCAGGTTCAAGGAATGGCTGAAGAGGCAAGGTTATCTTGAAAGCAAGCTGTCACAGCCCACAGCTATCAAAACCACTACCAGTAAGCAAGATTTCTCTTTGGTTGTTTATTAAAACTCCAGGCAGAGATCTGGCAGATCTGATTCTGTATTTCTTGAGAATCTCGAAGTGTCCCTACCACAGCAAAGCACCAAGCACAGCAACAGATTCCCATATGCCAGATGATCCTTTTGTGCAATGAGCACCTTGCCAAATTTTGGGAACAATTAGGACAAAGCCATAGATGGAAAAAGCAGCTGAAGGCTTCACAAAGCAAGAAAACAGCAGAAGCTGGAGCAAGAAAAGTTAGTTACAATTCAGAGACCCAATGCAGCAAAGCTGCAGAGGGAATTGCCCAGCACAGGGGAAGAACCCAATTGCAGTGACAGTGAATAAGTTTTAAAATAAATAAGTTTTAAAAGCAATGCTTTTGCTGCCAGTCACGTGCATGTAGTAAGCAACAGGATTAAGATGGCTGTCTCCAAAAGACAAACCTCCTAGCTTCACTTGCTCAGAGTAGAAATGAGAGACAGGAGAACTTGAGTTACAGAGTTTATCTTACTGAAGGAAAAGTGGTGCCAAAATTTGTTGTCTGCAGCTCTTTCAGGGTTATCACTAGCCATTTCCTGTATGAAAGATGCACCCAATGCAACATCAGCTGTTACGTTTTCAGATGTGGCTGTGTAAACTGACATGAGATCATGAAAAACAAGAGTTAATTTGCGTGGCAGTGAGGTCAGCACAGTGCTGGGTGAAACATAATCAGGAATTTGATAAGGCCTAACAGTCCACACTGATTACATATTCTCTTCCTTTTTGAGAGGGGCTGAAGCTCTGAAAATATATCCAAGGATGAATATTTTCAATTAAGTAAACTTGCTATATTGACAGTTTACAGAAGTATTACACGTTATTATTTTTAAATATAGAAAGTGAGACAGCTCATTTTTATCTCTTTTCCGCAGAGTTTAAAGTATGCTTCCCATCCTGTCTGATGCAGTGTGCGCATTACAAAAAGCAATGAGGTCCTTGTAATCATCTACAGCAAGACAGGATGCCCACTAAGACTGACAGTAAGTGTTAACCACACGATGTATTTTGGCCCATCTGTCTCTCAGAAACCACATGCAGGATTCTCTACAGAGAAAAAGCAGCCTGTGAAAGACAGATGTTTCAGAAATTCACCATGTGAAGTTACAGGTCCAGGAAACCCACATCACTTTTGTGTTCTTAAGCAAATGTGCACATTGTGCAAACGATTTCATTATAATACTATAAAATGAGAATTCTGCTGTGGGCTAAACGCCAAGCGCTGCAGGTACTGACACAAAACCTCAGTAAGGCTCTCGATGACTGAAGACCGAGTATTTGTCCACTTATGTCCCACACTGACAGTGTTTTGCACAGAAGCCAACTCCATCCTTAGCAACTTTTCATGACTCTACAACACTCTTTATTCCAAAGCACTTCAGTGCAGTCTCTTGTGACAAAAGAGTAACAGTCAGCCCATTCTTAGATAGGTCACTCCATCCTCTGCTTCTCTATGGCAAACAGCATTATTTCTACACAGTTCAGAAAGCACTGCCTTCCCAAAGACCACTCCCCACTGCCCTTATGATCTTGCTCTTGCACCTTTAGACATAGTAAGAAGAAAGTGTCAGGCAGAGAACGTTGCGTAAAAATAGTTTCTTCTGAGGAAATTAATGATTAAAGTGCATGAAAATATTTTAAGCCACAGGCTGAACCACCATCTTCAATGAAATGCACTTTAATACTGATAATGCCTTCAATTCTTCCAGCCACTATAAGAAGAACTACTCCTTTGAAGTTGGAAGCAAAGTTGCAATCCAGAAAGCCTGCTAAAGATTTCTGGTTTGTCCCTCTAGAGGCATCATCTCAGTTGCTGATAGCTGGGGCTGCAATAGTGACTGCTCCTCTGAAACAGCTGATCTCAGTTGTTTCTGTGGCATCCGTTTCCATGATCTTGTCTCTACAGCAGGAGACATAAAAAGAGCAGCCCTTTGTCACAGCAGGAAGCTGACAAAGGGACCCAGTTTTTAGAAGAGTGCAGGTTTAGGGAAAACCCAACATACACCAGATAGTATTTTAAGTGTTGCAACCTCCCCAATCCTAGAAAACTGTTGTCTAGGAAGAACCTACGCTGGAAGACCAGGAAGCTGTATTTAAATCCAGCGGAGCTTCTGCCCAAACCTGCCAGGCTGAACAAAATATTTCTAGAGAAATGAACAGCTCTCCATTTTAAGAGTGCAGGTTTAGGGAAAACCCAACATACACCAGATAGTATTTTAAGTGTTGCAACCTCCCCAATCCTAGAAAACTGTTGTCTAGGAAGAACCTACGCTGGAAGACCAGGAAGCTGTATTTAAATCCAGCGGAGCTTCTGCCCAAACCTGCCAGGCTGAACAAAATATTTCTAGAGAAATGAACAGCTCTCCATTTTCCACACAGAATTGCTTCCCAGGTGTAACGAGGAAAGGAAATGTAATTGTCTCCGGTAGAATTTGACAAAGTTGCCAGTGTTAACGCCCTGATTTGTGCTCTACAAGTCCTGTGATTTTAACACTTGCAGTATGAATGGGCCTAAATTTTACCTTTCCTAGAAAAAGCACCATGCATTTGGGCTACTGAGTCAAAGGGAAGAACAGCCCTCGCTTTTCTCAGCAGCGTTTCCTGCCCATTTCTACCAGAGGTAAGTAGGAATGGCATCTCCTTCATTCTCATTATTTGTTGCCAAACTCTGACCAGATCCACACCTACTGTAATTCTTTATTTTCTCAGCTGAAAAGTGATGCTGCTGCTATTGAGGGATGCTGTGTGGAAGCAATTTCATGAGCAAGCTGGCCTGCCTAAAATTTCTGTTACCAAAGACATAATAACATGCCAAGAGCAGTTGCTGAGCAGGAAGCTAAAAGGATACTGAAGACTTTTCTTCATCATTTAATTTACCTTCTGGATTTATTTCTGAATCGCTGGTGTTTCCAGGGTCTTCCTTGAGAACTCCCACGTCCTTTGCCCAATTTGTCCATTTAATTTCCTCTACTCTGGAGAGACAAAATGTAACAGACTGATGCATGGAGCATAGCATTTCAATCCAGATCTCATTGTTCTGCAATATCCCAACCCAGCTCATCCTGCCAACACAATCCTAATGGTTTGGCTGTAGCAGCAACACCGTACAGAGCTTTTCTTTGAGTAAAGATGTTCTGTAGTCTAAGCTCCATGAGGTAAATATCCTCTCCCGCTGCATATTGTGTGCTGGTCTATGTTATTTCAAAATACTCCAGTTCCTCACAGGAAACATACTTAATACAAAGGAGGCTCCTAGTTCCACTTTCTATACGTGCTCCGTAACACCCTGGAGTTAGAGAAGTGCTGCCTGCAGCACTGTTGGTTGGGTGGAGAAAGGTTCATCTGCTCTCCCAGCCCCTATATGTGAAGAAGAGTGCTGCCCCCTCGTGTTGCATGCTCCTGAGCCAAGGGGCCACCAGCCTGCATCCCTCCACCGCAGCCTGCTCTGCGCACAGCTCGCAGCAGCAAAGAAAGCATCACTGCTGACACCCCGCTACTGTAGCCACTCGCGCAGATGTAGGTCAAACAGGACATCGTTTGGTGACAGCATGTCTTGGTGACAATGCTGGCAGCTCAACTAGTTCTGAAACTTCCACCACTGCAACCACCAACCGATTTGCATGTACCCAGGAACATGTGGTTGAGTCACTCTTGAGTCAGCGCAGAAATTCCCTGTGGTGGTTCTGAGTTACCAGCTTGTGAGTCATGGGAACCCGTCACTAGGCTGGAGTGGAAGGGGTAATGGTACATCTGTCTTACCTGAAACACCACCTCTCATCTTTCTTATTGAGGCCCACTGACACAAAGCAGCCAGATCTCCTCTTCCCACCCTGGCGCCACAGCCAGGCCTTCTCTATTTCTAGAATAGCAATCGCCCTCTGAAAGAAAAAGTCCATGTCAGAGAGAAAACAGAGCATACAGAGCCCAGTCCCGCTTTTCGATTAAATCCTCCCCAATCAGCAACTACTTTGACTCAGAAAATCACTTTGGAACACAATCCCAAAGTGCTCCTTAGCTTAATAGTACCAGTTAGTTACTCACTCTCTCAAGTTACTTATGCTCGTGGATCTGGGCTGGCTGGTAGCCATGCAAACAGCATGAGCTTTAAATACATCTAAAATGATGTTAGTATTTACCCCCAGAGTGGGAAATTTATGTAAAAGATAAGTTTATAGCTGAGGCTTAGGACAAAGACAGGCACTGTCATCTCCGATGTTATGAGACTCAAGTAGGAGTGTGGGCCACGACATAACTGCTGAGCAGCATCAAGTCTCACCTGCAGCTTCCAGACGCTTTTGCTATAACCAGAAATATCTGTGACAGTCTCGCTCATGAGTGCAATCAGCATGTTGAGCAGAAGAATGTAAGTGAGGATCACAAAGAGAAGCAGCAGGAGCATGACGAAGTATCTGAATCTGGCATGTTCCTGGAAATCCAGGTCGCCCATCCCAATAGTGATCTTGAAGAGCTCCAGGGAGACACTAAGCAGCCCACCATACATAGCATGGCTCCCAGTGCTCTCCAGCTGAGCAAGAGACTTGTTCTGAGAGACTGAAGGAGCATCCCCCATCAGCGTAACCAGAGCTATGAGAAAAACAGAATTTGAATCCTCCTCAGAAAGATTTACTTCTTGCAGCCCAGCCTACAACATAATGCTGAGTTAAGTCCTTACCTGCAGCAAAGCCAAAGAGGAAGATCATATAAACCAAAAGGAAACGGAGCAGATCTCTCAGGATAGTCTGAAACACAAATCAGGAGGTGGTGCCATTCTTTATCTCACATGAAACTGCCAGGATTATCTCCTGTTCTCACACATCATAAACCAACCCCCAGTAACAATACTGAAAGCAAGTTGGAAAATGCTTTTATCCAGTTTAAGAAACTACTAATACGTGTTAAATTACTTCCTCAGGTAAGCAGCATCATTGATAGCTTAATCTGAGAGTACTACATGAACTTATTTGTTGTTATGTTTGTATGAATAGGTTCTTTGAAACAACGACATCAGTTCCCCAGTATGGCTGTTCCCACATAGTTTCAGCACACACATCTCTCTCTTCCATCTCCACTGGGTTTCACACAAGTGGTGATCAGAATTCTTTCCCGGCACCTCATTTCACCTCTGCTTTCTCTTGCCTTTCTAGTCCCAGATTCCTCTGTGGACCTGGGAAACACTTCTCAGCCCAAGCTTAACAGTTCCAGGGCACTCGCATTGGTTTTGACTGCTAGTTTTGAGTTGGTTTATGACAAACCACTGTCAGCCGCTGTCACTTGCTATATTCAAAGATAACAAACTAGTAGTTTGCTGCAATTGTACTTCCTTGAAGACACTGATCTAATCTCCTGCAACACCTTTACTTCTATAGTCAGTACATCAATCCCATTTATGGTTCTCATGGTCCTGAAAGAAGAAAGGTAATTGCAGGACTTCTATTAGTTCCTCACACCCAAAACCTTTTCATACAAAGTTTTTTCCGAATACTGACCTTCTGTATCATGACACTGTAGATCCCAGTGCGTTGAAAGCCCCGAGTGTAATACAGCATGTTCACCCATCCCAAAAGCAGGGAGAACACCATCACCGCCACATAGTTCTCTGAACTTGCACCATACAGGACTGCTGACAGCAGCAATGAGAAAGCCTGGATGAAGCTGGAGAGAAACAGAATGAGTGACACAGTGACTTACCTCAACAAAGAGGCCCATTTGCAGATCTGTTCTGTTTTGCAAGGAAAAGCAAACATATTTTACGAGGCTACGTGGAGCATATGAAGTGGCAGTTAATCAGACACATAGTTTATATAAGCAAATCCTGTTATAACCAGACCCACAAACTGTTGCAGTTTTGTTATGAACTGGTTAATCTCACAGTATGGAAACTCCGAACTGCTTGATGTAACTGATATTAAATGGAAAAAAATGTTAACACTTATAAACACATGCACACATACATACATGCACACACATGCCTCTATACACATTTCTCCTCAGAAAACTGAGAAGTTATTTTCCTTTCAACCAATTCTGAGCCACAATGACCATATGATTAAGAACTTGAGCTCTTTTTCTAACAAGTGTATCTTAACTGTGGAATAACTGAGGGTCTGACCTTCACTGTGTTCTGCTACAAATCCAAGAACAGATTCTACCCAGCAAAGTTCGTTACAACAAAGAGTTATGACAAGATGCAGCAGGTAGAAGCAGCAAGCAGGGAAGGGATGGAAAGAGGAGACAGTGGCAGAGAAGAAGTCTTTCCTGCTCACCATCTCTCTAGTAATGCTAGGGCAACTTAGATGCACACAGCAGAGAACCAATGTCACCCATGCTTTCATTGTGCAAAAAACCTCAAGAGACATACATCAAGATCTCAATGCAGCTGTCAGAACACATAGTCTTCAGGGACTGGCGTCTCCTCCGCAAGTACAGACTCTAATAGAGAAAAATCAAGGGCAGCCATTCATCAAAAACACAGGGCATGCTAGAGAGTGATTCCTGCCTAGCACACCTAGCTCAGGGCAAAGGTTTGCTCCATAAGCTCCTCTTCATGCTTTCATTTTCAAGATCCCAAATTTCAGCTAGTCATCCTTCCAAGATGACAAAAAAGCCTCATTTATAAAGGGCAAGGATAAACAAGGGCTGAATCATCGCTCAGCCCAATGTCTTTATTAATAGACTGCATTAAATGCCAAGGATACATTTTAGTACCATAAATCACAGAAGTCTCTCATAATTATTGGCTGTTGTGAACCTATTCTTCCTCTTGCCCAGCAACCTAGCTTGTGCCACCCCATCACTGCTAGATCACGCTGACACTGTAAGTGTCTTGGAGCAGGATTCCCTCCTGCCATGCACTCATGCACATCCTGACATCAGGAGAACTCAAATCTATTGCCTCCAAGTCAGTGGTAGTTTCCTTTTTTCTTACAACGAAACCAGACAAGAGGTCCCCATACCTGTGCAAAGATTAGATAAATGCCTCCTAGCAAGATAATGATCAGTCCAGAGACCCACAGGAAGCCTCCAGCCGTGAACTCCACTGGAAATGAAGGCTGCAAGATAAAAACAAAAAAAACCCAAAGCACTGAAGCCAGGCAGAGATAGTGATGATAACCACTCCATGCCTTTTAAACTCAGCTCCATCCATTCAGGCCTTTCCAGATAAAAGAAGATTGGACCTACCTTTACCCGTAAGGGTTGATAGTATGCAATGGCTGTAAAGATGATCATGAATGACAAGTATGAGACAAAACTGAAGTAGAATCTCTTGGAAGCAAACGTTTCCCATTTTTGCTGAAGCAGTTTGTTCAGTGGCTCCAAAACCACCATCTTGTACCGATTCTGTGGAAAAACAAACAACAAAATGTACCCTTGTATCAACAGGAATGCAAATTCACCAGAGGACTGTCCTTTTCAGGGTTGGAGTTCAGTGGCTCCAACTAGGGTATCACCAAGGGTTTATTCAGTCAGGCCTTTCAGTATGAAAGAAATCAACCATCCCACAAGAAGTTACTTCTGCTTGGCTTCATCGAGGTGTTTGGACACACCCAGACTTAGGACAACCAAAGGATCAAAAATTTCTCTCATATTATAGATTATCAGAGGCATACCAAGCAGACTATAAATAATAAAAAATGCAAATACTTCCATCGTGCCTTTCTTTTCCAGAAAAATGATCATGTGAAACACCACATTAACTTGAAATTATTTGCACAATTATACAGCAACACTATAGAAAAGCAGAATAAAAACGTTGCTGTCTTTGAATTTTAGTAAAAGCACTCACCGGTGTGTCACTGCTGTATGCCAGAATCTCCAGCACAGAATTTTCCTCAAAGCTGTCTATAGAGGACAAGTCATAGAGAGACACGTGGATAGGTCCATAGGTCCACTCAGTGAACTTGCGTGACAGGTGCCTGTAGACTGGGTCTTTGATCTCTCTTTGGATGATGTGCTTGAAGATCTGAAGAGAAAAATGTGTATGTAATGAAGATGTAGAATGACACAAGCATGCCCAAATCACCTTCAAATACAGGATGCCTGACTTTCTGCATTATACACTTTGATATCTCCAAACACCAGACTATCTGGCTAAAAGCAGGCAATCTAACTACACCTTGTACCAGCTCTTCCAGGAGTAGAACCAGTTTTGGTCCAGACCAGCTGTATTGGCTGGGGGGGAGAGCTGAGACTCTGTAGGACACTAACTGGAGTGGCCTGGAGGTGGCCTTCCTTGTTGTGTCCTGTGGCACTGCCACTGTCAGCAGCATTACTATGAGTTGGGTGCAAGATGCTCCTACATCAAACCCCACTGCTACACTAAGGATGTATGCTCCAGTCTTCCTTGTTTCTCAGCAACCCCAGGGATTCCCTCTGGTTGATTGTACCTCCACTTTGCCTGTCTTGGCAGCAAGCTGCAGAGGATTTAATCCATCATAATTCACTATCTCCTCCAGTTTCCACGTTGGGTCAACCTTCACACCTGCCTTCAAGATCTCAATGTATGTTGTGCTCACAAACTTGGTGTTCTCCTCAGTGTCATCAGCAATCATCACCAGGGCATGGAGGACTGTGTTGCCCTGTGTATCCTGCTCCTGGAGCCTGGCTTTCTGGTGTGGATTGTTTAGAAGATATTCCACCACCTCAAGCTGGTTGGTACAAGCAGCCAAGGAGAGGGGAAGTTCACCTGAAGAGATTAGGACAGTATTTGGAGGGGAAGCAGAAAAGGGCAGAAAAAAATTAAAGAAAGAAAAAAGGCCATTATAGGAAAATATATTTAGCTACAGTTTTACGACTGGAACACAGAACAAATTCTTTCTCAGTATCTCAAGATTCAGAAAGGGTTTTGCAGTAAACAACTACTCCTTGTTTCTGAGGGCAGCTGAAACACTTTCCCAGATCCCTAATTTGGCTAAACTAACCAAGTATGTGTCTCTGTCTGAAGCCTCTCAGATGGGATTAAATAGGTAAAACCAAAGATGATGGCAAATGCTCACTGGACACCTCAGTCTGTGAAAGGATCCTGCCATTCAAGTAAGTCAAGAGCTTGATTACAGGACAGTGGTGATGGCAACCCACACACAGAGGGGTGAACCCAACTGAGAATTAGCGGCATCACATACAGTAAGGCAATAAAAAAAGCAAAGGAACATGTTCCACACTGACTCACCAAAATAAAAGTAAACTCCTTCTTTCTTTTTCCTGAAGAATTCACCATGGGCTCTGGCATGGACATCAGCTCCATTCTCTACCAGAAGTTTCACCAAATCTAGGCTCCTTTTCTCTATGGCAATATGGAGTGCTGTCTGGCCTAAGGAAACAGTAAAACCTATCACTTGGTGCCACTGTCAGAGGGAACAGACAAAGGACTCTTCAGCAAAACGCCATTTCAACAATCACTGTACGTTCTGCACAGCAATCCTGCAGCCTCAGCATTGGGCAAGGATGGGTGGCCATTGAAGACTTTCAACAGCATTCATTGCAAAAGCACGTTGCAAACACTGAGGCAGAGGACAAGCCCCAAGACTATCAGAAATTCAACATGAGACCCGCAATTACCCCTGCCTGGCACTAAGATCCCAAGCAGGTATGAGGGGATAAAGACAACCATACATGTACACGACTATGCTGCATATCTGCTATTAAAAGGATAACCCAACCAGCAGGATTCATTCTTTAATAGCGATACACTATTTTTTTTTCAATTTTAGATGTGCTTTTGAAGCTTTCCAAAGCAAATATTCTCATATTCCTCAGTTATTAAATGTCTATCATTTCTGTTTTATAGACTGAGAACAAAGTTGCAGAAGTGAAGCATGTAATTCAGGGCTGAAGACGACACAGACCAGAATCAGAAATCAGGACTAAAAAGTGAGTAGGCTCTTACTGGAACTGTACCAGAACTCTGCATAAGCTCCAGTTCCCCTCATTTTCCTTGTATCTGCACATCCCACCTGTCTAATGGGGAGGCTGCTTTGACACAGCATCAGAACAGAAATCTTACCTCTGTAGTAACAATCAGAGCATGCCACATTGACAAGTGGCCTGGGATTCTGTGTCTTTTGGTCTATTTCCAGCAAAAGTGGGATTGTGTCATTCTTTCCATTTTTTAAGTTCAACAGGGCTTTCATTAAGCAGGTCTTCCCAGTCTTTGCATCTAGTAGAAAAAGAGTATCGAATGGGTTGTGCATGTGCTTTGCACACATCTGCATTACCCGACTCAGTGTGCCCAGAATTTAACTGTCACTGTAGAATCAAATACAATAATTTTAAAGGCCTTTCTCAGTTTTTTTAGTCTGCAGTAGAGGCAAAAGCCTTAGGATATATATCATTAATGGCATTGTCCATCCTCAGACGGACATTAGAAAAATAAAAAAAATAAACAGAGGGCTGGAGAAAGCAAAAAATGACAAGCAGGTTCCCCTGCTTCTCTCCTACATTAACAAGTGCTGCCTCTGCTAACCCTGTTTATGGCGTATTGAACGGGAATCTACCTGTGTATTCAGAATTGGTGAGAAATTTGGAGCTCCTCCTAAGGTACTCAAGTAAACCATCCAGTGCCTCAGGGCTGCCCCTTGAGACCGCGCTGAAGAGCCTGTCTCTGTCAAAGCGATTTGGGTCCTTTTGGCTACGGAAGAAATGCAAAGCGTTAAGAAGTTCTGGTGAGAAGAAGAGTCTGCAATAAGTTCTAGTGGGACGGTGTAAGAAAGGAGGGAGGCAGAAAAGTTTGTCAGAAAAAACCCAGTATTTTATTTTTGAGTCAAGGGAAAAGGAGAGACAGTTATTTCCCAGAATTCTCTTAAGTGGCTGCTCTTTCCATCAGCTGGAGCTCTTCCCAGATCCAGTCTGATGTGCAACCCTGGAATGCATCCAGAGCACAAAGACGGAGAAGCCCAAGATAGCTGCAGGACCAGTCAGTCCCATCACATGGTGCGAAGCACTCTGTGAGCTGGTTTACACCCCTCCCTGGCAAGAACAGTTCAGTTGCACAGGGCTCCATGCTAAGCTGCTCTTACACCCAACTTGGCTTATTCAGTGTTAGTTCAGATACACCCCAAACACACCACAACACACACCATACACATTCCTTCTGAGTGCAGAAGGAAAGGGCTAATATGTCCCTTTTCTGCTTTTAATTACCTCCCACCAGATACCTGTAATATTCCTACATTGCCGCTTTTAGTTTAGACTTGGTAAATTCTGTAGGCCCCTACCAGCAGGGATCAGCACAGACCAACAGGGATCGCACCCCTGTCAAATACCCAACAGTTACTCACTTGCTGACAAGTCCTGGCCGATAGTTCAGATTAATCTTGACTTTAGGAGGAAAGTCACTGCTCTCCTTCTGATAAGGTGTCTCCAGGGGCCGTGGCTCTCCTTTCTTTCCATGTCCTGATCTTTCTTCCTTTTTACTAGATGCAGGTTTATCTTCCTGGACACTGTCATCTGTTTCTAGCAATCCTATCAACCTGTTCCTCTGACCTGGGCCCGGCTGCCCATTTGTGAAGTTATCCATTTCTAGTAGAGATGGTCTTGCAGATCACCAAAGATGTTCTCCCCACTGGGATACTAAACCTGCAAGGGAGAGGGAGAATTAACACAAGTTGTCACAAACCTAGAATGTATTTGGTGCAGCACAGAGAGAGGAAAGCATGTTTCCAGGTCCAGCGTTCCTACAGTTGACTACGGGTCCCTTGAGAGAGAGATTCAGTAAAACTCTGCACAGTAGGAGTATTTGAATAAACGATCAAGACCTCTAAATAGGGAACCACTGGTGAAGAAAAGTTCAGAAGCAGTTCATGAAATACAGACAACTTGTCTGCAGAATATCGGAACCCCCTTTGTGAGATGACCTCACCTGTTGGCAGCAGCACAGGCTCCTTACATAAAAGGGAAAGAAAGTGGATCTTTAGGAGGCTACGATCATTGTTCTTGTCTCAGTGCAGCCAACGCAGGCTAGTCACCAAGGGGCCAGGAAGATAACATTAACTGTAGGCCTGCTTTGGAACAGAGTGATAAGTTTGTTCATGTTCTCTGTTGGTAAGCATTACACTATTTCTACAGGGAAAACATATGCGCAAATGACGCATTGTCCCCCCCCCATTCTCGCATTTCATCCTGGGGCAAAAAGAGTGGGATCTCCCCAGTGTTTGGAGCTGTTGGCTATCCATGTGAGCACAGGCTTTGAACTTCCAGCTCCACAGCACAGGCACACACCCCAGCTGCCATGGGGACACTCGCAGCCCTCAGAGCCTGAACAGAGCACAGCTCTCCCAAGATCTGCTGTACAAAGAGCATCAGGGTTATCAGAGCACCCAGCCAGCCCACTTCTCTTATCTCATGTCATGTACTCCTTTTTTAACTCTTTTGAGACATCTCCTCATATATCTGGGTACATCTCAGATCCACACCCAACACAAGCTATCTGTGGTCAGCATACGACTGCAGATTCACACACTGTTTGTGAGGCAGGAAGGAAACATCCATGATTACCAACCTGAAGCAGAGCTTTTCTTAATAACCCCGTCTTATTCACATGTACTCCCTCCAAATGGTTAACAGGTTTTCTCTGAAGAGAAATCTCCCTTGCTGGGACTACAGTCTGACTCCATAGCCTGTACCAGCAAAGAGGTAAATTGACACAGCATAAGCATTCTGGCTTAGATTAGGATGTGGAGAAACAGAATTCTAGGCAGAAAACAGCCACCAAACATCTTTATGCAGCTCACAGCCAGAAATCCAAGGGGTGATTTTAAGACGAACCATTATGATAATTCAGCCACTCAGTTTAGTCTGCACTTGAATGACAAACATTCCTCTGCACACGCAGGCATGCACCCTATAATCCCATTTCAGACTTATTTCCTCCCCCAAAACACTTACTGGTACATTTGCTGATCCTTTAGAGGGCTATTTGTACTTCCATAACAGTTTGCTTGTGCTTTTTTGTCTTCCTTTCCCCAAAATCATTTCTCAGCTGCAGTTTCCATCTCTCCACAGCGCCCGAGTTATTTATTGTCAGGCTTGTACAGACAGACCGTCTGGTTTAAAAGCAAGAGCAAAATGGTCCTATAAAAAAGGACCCTATGATGTATACATTCACTTTGTGTGTCCCTAGGCAACACAGAGAGCACTCTCTGTTTGCCAACTCAACTTTCACTTCTCAAGAACTGAGTTGTTTGTTTCTGCGACTTTACCAAACCATTGAGTAGCGCAGCACAAAAAGCCCTGCTGTCAAAGGAGGAAGAGCACAGCACTTACCCCAAGTTCCTGCAAGCTCCACCCAAGAACTGATCTGACAAGGAGTCCCAACGAATCCTTCAGAGGGTAAATAATCTCTCAGTAAAAGCCCTGCTGTCAAAGGAGGAAGAGCACAGCACTTACCCCAAGTTCCTGCAAGCTCCACCCAAGAACTGATCTGACAAGGAGTCCCAACGGATCCTTCAGAGGGCAAATAATCTCTCAGTAGAAACCAATTCAAATACCAACAAGTGTTAATAAGCACGAAAGCAGAGTCCAAGTTATTTACATCCATGGGTGAGAGTCCTCCTCTTCTGCAGAGAAGACCACACTCATATTAGCAGTCTATTAATGGCACGTCGAACTCCTACTTGGTGGTGGTCCATGAGAAAATCCAAGCTGCCTGTGAGAAAGAATAACCACGGATTGTTATGCACTCAACTGTGTAGCTTTCTGCAAAGTGAAGAAGGGCTTGCACTGGAAATGACTAGATAGATTTCTCAGTAAAAGGGAGAGCCAATGAGTGCACTGCTCTTATATGGGAAAGCTGGCTGGCTATTGCAAATTTATAATGCTTAACCCCTGCCTGTACGTATGGAGGCGACATCTCGCTTCCAGAAACAGCCTGCTCAGATCTCAAGGGAGGCGGCTGATTCGACCCTGACAGTGCTACAGACCATGGTTTAGTGGTGAGGTTTGTCACAAGGCTCCCTCCGCCCCAGGACAAGCAAGTATGCATTGAAATATCTGAGGTCAACTGTTTCTGTGGGAAGCCAGTTCTCCTCACACTTCACACACCCCGGTTACAAGGCAGCGCAAACCATATGAAATAATAAACTCGCCAGAACATTACCCTACAAAGTACACAGTGTCAGCTGCTCATCACAAGCACCGGAGACTGCACAAAGCAGCCCCAGCTCCAAAACACTTAGGCCACTGGTTACTTAATTTGCCATTAGTGCCCATTTCCTAATGGATGGTTCTCCAAAGGAACGCAGGTCCTGGAGAGGTGTGGAGGTTCTGGAAGCACGGACTGACCATCCCCACAACTGACTGCAGTTAATACCGTGCACACACACTAATACCCCTTCACTCACCAAACAGGACACCTGGGAAACAGAGGACATCAGCCCACGCCACGTGTCTTAGTTTTTTCTCTCCCACTCCAAGCAGAACTGAGACCTGAGGAGGCAGCGTGATCATTATTTCCCACAGCATCAACGAAGGATGACATTCAGCACCCACAGTCTCAACAGCCTTCCCCAGCGCAATGTTGCTGCCTAAAGCAATCCTCATCTGACGGGACCACAGGATGATGTGGGGCTTCCTGGAATGCGGCCGCCACCCACCGAAACATTCCCAGATGGCTCCTACTTTGAGTCAGATGCAGGCTGTGAGAAGACCTTGCTATAAATACATCCATTAAATGGCAGGGTGCCTTTTCCTCTTTCATGGTTTTGCATGAGATCACAAACTTATTCCTCAGATTCCTGTGTTTCAAAATTAAGCTGATATAGGAACAACTCCAAGCTACTTATTCTTTCCAGGCTGAATGATTTATTAGGACCCACAGAGTAACATATAAACATATGTAGATAAATGCATGACCAGATCTCATCTCTCACCTCTCCTTGTTCCAGCCTCTTACCGATTTAGTACAGTTTGCTTTTGTCATGTTTCGTTTAATTTACTGTGATATCAACAGACATAGATTCAGGCCCCGGGAGCTGAGCTCAGACTTACGGGTTTAAATCCTCTTGGGCTTTTCCCCCAGCTTTCATGGGAGTCAGCTCACCATTCCAGCCGAGGAATGAAATCAGCCCACAAAAAGCACACCATAACAGAGTTCTTTCTGCGCATCTGGTTTTAATAGCTTACACAGAGGAAAGAGAATGTGCAGCTTGCTGGGAAAGGAATCGCTGCCAGCTGAGAGGTCACCACAGCAAAACAGAAACATGGAGCTGCTGGGGGAACACAGGAACTTTGGTATGCAGACACACATGCGCACATGCCTTCACGGAGAGTACACTAGGGTAAACACTTGCACTTCCATTTCAGAGAAGGGAGAAGCAAGGCAGAAAAAAGCCATGAGATCTGCCCAAATTCACACTTGCCAGTGACAGTGTTCCGAGGTCAGTAATGGGATTATGTCACTGCTGAGCACTAGCCAGCTGAGCTGCTTATGATGCTTAACAAGCATCTTGCCACCAAATTTTAAAATCCTGGTCGCTCACAGGACTCAGGAGAAAGCCATCCAAAGCAGCACACACAGAGAACAACAGAAGCAATTTAATTATGGCTATGTGCCAGCCTCAGTTTTCAAAAGCAACGTGTGATCCTCTTGCCTTTTGAGGCTTTTATTTGGGGGAACAAGGAGGAATCTTGCAATTGCTCAGTACTTATTTTGCTGATGCAAATGAGTCTGATGGCATTAAGTTTCTCCTGACAGGAGACACATATTCTGTGGAAACCTTAAATCCATGATCAGAGAAGTCAAACTCTTTAACTACTAAGTGAAATTTTCAGTCAAATCAATAATTTTCATAATATTATAAAATATTTTCATAATTATAATTATAGATGATACATGAAGAAGCACCGTAATTCATGGCAGGAAAGCAACGATGGGAACCTGCTACAACAGAAGGCAAAAGGGAGCATGAGGAAGATCACTTTCTGAAAAGATGGAAACAAGCACATTTCCCAAAATATGTATTCTCTGTTCACCTCAGTACACATTTTTACCAAATACTGAAAAATACAGTAGTCTCACAATTAATATGATGTCTTCTGTATGCTGTAAACAGAAGATCAAAGTCACTTACATGTATCTGTAATTTAATTACAGCATTGATCTGTAGCCATTCTAAGGGGCAGCAGCTCAAAAATCATCTTCACAGGAGGAGGAAGCCTGTAATGACAGCACACGAGGGTGGACCATTAATGTTTTCTCCAGAACAACAGGTAGGCCAGCACTTCATTCAAACCTCACAAAAGCCACATGGCTAAAAGAGAGAAAGTGTTTCTTTTAAAGGTGTAGTTTCACACATAGGAAAATATCAAGTATTTTGCAAGGCCAGACTTTTTTTTCTTTCTTTCATGTAACTGTTATGTAAAACCTACACTGAAGGGATGAATTTTAGCAGCTTCATTTGTTAGTGACACAGATGGAGTTCTATTCCTCTGGAGACACCAGCCAGCACCCATTCTAAAATCCAAATATTCTTAAATATAATTCCTTGTCAGAACTTGTCCGATAGTCCTGGGGACTCAATTAATTTACATGACAGTATTTCTGTAACTACTAGTCCTACATCGTATTATTTAAAGGCTCCTATGTATACACTTCTCAGGAACCATCCACTTCTCTTACTCCTTAAATGGAAGTATCTTTCTCCTTGACGTATCCTTTCTGTAGGATTACAGCCTGAAGGAATGCTCCACTGACAATCAAATAGCAGCAGAATACGAAACCCAACGGTGTTACCAAACACCATTTCTGTGGAGAAACACTGACATCCAGTGGCCACTCCCTAAACCTGAATTGCTGCTGCTTCTGGCAACAGCCTCTATGGGAAATTCTTCAAAAATAGCGAAAAGGACTTGCAAACGTACACTTGTGAGAATGCTAGTCATTCGCTTAATGTTTGTATGAAACAGTTAACAGAAACGTGTTTAATTTAAAAACTCAAGTTCCAAAGAAGGCTGGTTTTGATGATGCAGGGATGTTCCGTAAATACAAAATTATGCAGCCAAGGATCTTTGACCACAGCTACCACGCAATGCCTTTGGACCTGCAGACAAGGCTGCAACAATACCCAATGTATTCCCAATGTGCGTCTGCCTCAACTCTCACTCTCCCCATACGATTATGTTCTGGGGCAGCTGCTACCACAGCAAAACACTAAACAACTCAAAACCTGAGCATAACAGGGTTATCTCATTTTGCCTTCTTAAACCAGACAGTACTTTTTTTAGAAGCACAGAAGACAAAACCCCTGAAATCTTGGAATCTTTTAAGAGAGAACAGACTGGAAATTAAGTGAAGCTGTGAGAAAAAGCACAAAGGCCAGTCACAAAGCTCAAGTTGCAGCAGGATTAAAAGATGTTATCAGAATCTGTTGTCAATATGGAGGCATTGGGATTATTCTATTTTAATAGCACATAGATTCGGGCTAAAGCCTATTAAATTCTCATTTATTTTAGTTATGAATAGTTGGCTCCAAGTAGATTGGATTGAGGTACACCACAGTGTAAGAAAAACAAATGTATCTTATCATTCATATTGCCTCATACCTTTTTTGCTTGTAACTTCTTCAGCATAAACATTATGCAAATTCATATTTACATTTCCTTGCAATTTATATGAATTTCCGTAATTCACATCATTTAAGATAAATTGCAAATATTTCTCTTTATTAATGACAAAATTCCTGGCAGTCATCTATTGCACCTAGTGACTGCCACCCCGCTGTGAGCTGGGGATGAGCGGCTTGGCAGGACAAGCGCAAGTCCCACACAAGAGTCCCCATGTCCTCTCAGGGAACAGAGCACCCAGGGCAGCGCTGCCACACAACAGCACCTGGGGATTTCACTCCTCCTGCTCTGGCTTTAAGGAAGCACCGTTCTTGTGCCATTACTAGTAAGCCAAACGCAGAACTAATTTAACTTTCAGCACAAGCCTCACTTAAGCAAATCTTCCTAACGGGCTGGGGAAAAGAGAGATTCACACTCTCAGCTCAGGCTGCCTGAACAAGGCCTGAGCTGCTCCCCACCATCACAGAATGCCTCAACACTCCCCCCTCTGCCTGCTGATTACCTCAGTGCAAGGTCAGGCTGAAGTGGGCTCCGCATATGGCTCCGCTTGCGGACCATCCACAACAGGAAGACCAGAACGACCAGCAGAAGCAAAGGTTCAACATAGGTTTGGCTTGGGCTGAATAAAGTCGCACTGGGAAGCTGGTGCAGACCCACTCAGCCAGCTACACATCGCCTTCCCAGGATCCCAGCTAGTTTTTCCATGGAACAAATCATCAGCAGAAAAAGGTTAAGTGCTAGTAAATTTATTCAGTGCCCTATCTCCTCTGGACTATAAATCTACACACTACTCAAAGTGGAGCTATCAGATGCCCCATCTGAAGTGACAGGATCAGAGAATGGTTGGGGCTGGAAGGGACCTCTAGAGATCACCTTGCCCAGCCCTCCTACTCAGCCAAGGCCACCCAGGGCTGGTTGTCCAGAACCACATCCAGACAGCTTTTGAGTATTTTTCAAGAAGAAATCTGCACAACCCCTCCAGGCAACCTGCCTGAGTAGCTAAACTGGAAAAAACAAGACCTGGCTAAGTGGCTAAACTGGAAAAAGTGTAAAATCAAGGCAAGGTAAAAGCAATTGCAGGAAAACTCAAGTAATCTCAGGGAAGTATGTCTTATGGCAGAAACAGCAATTGTTTACAGAACTCCACATTTCTGCTAGCACAGCTAGACACAGCAGACAAGGAAACAAGCCCTGCTGCTGAAAATAAACTTATGGTTCTAACCACCAAATCCACACTGAAGTTACAACATGCAGTTTTCTATGAAAACAGCAGTGGAACTTTCTGGCCATGACAGTAGCCATACCAAGAATGCACTGCTAATACAAGCACACATTCTGTGTTGTTAAATTAAAAGCTGAAAATCAAAAGGAATGAACTTTCACAGCAACACTACATTGGACCAAAAAGTCAACCCAATGGTGCATAATACATGCCCATCAGCAAAAAGTGCACCAGCACAGAAACACGGTGCACGCAGATGCCAATGTTCCCATTTCAAGTTAAGCAGCTGTCAGAATTCAACAGACTTTGGCAGCCATGAGCCTTACAACCTGGGCAGGGTTCTGTGAAACTGCACCTGCTTACAGTCACCACCACCAGAGTTAACTAAACCACTGTAACCCCACCCCTTTGGGCAAGTTTCCTTTGCCCACCCCTTAAAAAACATAAACACCCCCACCCCCCCCAAACCACCAAGGCTTTAGTAGGAACTCCCCAACTTTTCACATTGTTTATATCACTTTTACTTAAACCAAATCAGTAGATTGTTCTACTGCTCAGTCACGCACCGCCATTCCATGTTTCACTACAGCCAGGGTAGTAAGGCAGCCTGCCCTGCACCAGCAGCAATTCTCACTGAACTACCCCTCCCCACATCACATTCCATGTAGTTCAGCCAGACACCCCACATCCTTTTGGGAAGCATACCTTGAACAGGCTGTCACTGGAATAACCATTTTCCCCACTTAAAAATATACACAAGCACTCATGTTTGCTTGTGTAGCCCCCCCAAAGCACCCTGAAGCTCAATTCTCACTGCAGTGTCAGGCAACAAAACCATTCACTCATCTCTCAACCACAGTCATTACACACCCCACCCCACTCTAACAACAGTCATACCACCTTTAGTTGGTGATGACTCTGGGACCTTTCAAAGAACTATCCTTCCCTGAAACAAAGTTGCATTAAACTCTAGGAAGAAAAAATAACATGGTATTAGTGCTTAAATTAAGACTTTAATCCAGATGTTTCATCCACAAGGTCCTCATTATACATGCAAAGAGGCTTAAACTGCCAAGGAACAAAGCTAAAGTAAACACGTCACTTAAAATACACTGGTTTTACTAGCTTGAACTGAGACAGACTACAAGTTGTCATGTGCAACAGAAAACTTTATTAGCATTTCAACAGACAGTCATTCAGCAGTTACTGAGGCTTGCATTAACTTTGCATTTAACTTAAGACATTAAAGAACTACAGTGCAAACACAAGAGCTATTGGCCATCTTGTGGTTGAGCAAGATGCACAATAACTTAACAGCCACCCCTCAGGCGCAGCACAAGATGAAGGGTGGATTCCTTCTGGATGTTGTAGTCAGACAGGGTGCGGCCATCTTCTAGCTGCTTGCCAGCGAAGATCAACCTCTGCTGATCTGGGGGAATGCCTTCCTTGTCCTGGATTTTGGCCTTCACATTCTCAATGGTGTCACTGGGCTCAACCTCGAGGGTGATTGTCTTGCCTGTCAGGGTCTTCACAAAGATCTGCATGCCACCTCTCAAACGCAGCACAAGGTGAAGGGTAGATTCCTTCTGGATGTTGTAGTCAGACAGGGTGCGGCCATCTTCCAGCTGCTTGCCAGCGAAGATCAACCTCTGCTGATCTGGGGGAATGCCTTCCTTGTCCTGGATTTTGGCCTTCACATTCTCAATGGTGTCACTGGGCTCAACCTCGAGGGTGATGGTCTTGCCAGTCAGGGTCTTCACAAAGATCTGCATGCCACCTCTCAAACGCAGCACAAGATGAAGGGTGGATTCCTTCTGGATGTTGTAGTCAGACAGGGTGCGGCCATCTTCTAGCTGCTTGCCAGCGAAGATCAACCTCTGCTGATCTGGGGGAATGCCTTCCTTGTCCTGGATTTTGGCCTTCACATTCTCAATGGTGTCACTGGGCTCAACCTCGAGGGTGATTGTCTTGCCTGTCAGGGTCTTCACAAAGATCTGCATGCCACCTCTCAAACGCAGCACAAGGTGAAGGGTAGATTCCTTCTGGATGTTGTAGTCAGACAGGGTGCGGCCATCTTCCAGCTGCTTGCCAGCGAAGATCAACCTCTGCTGATCTGGGGGAATGCCTTCCTTGTCCTGGATTTTGGCCTTCACATTCTCAATGGTGTCACTGGGCTCAACCTCGAGGGTTATGGTCTTGCCAGTCATGGTCTTCACAAAGATCTGCATGTTTAACTGCAAAACATACATAACTTTCAGTTTTAGCTACTTAGTCAAGAACAGTCTGTAATTATTTTCAATAAAGAAATCGCTGCTGCTATTTTGCACTATATAAATACCGGTTGGAACTTTCCTTTTAATTAAAATTTTCTACCACCATTTCTCAGCTGTTTACTTTTGACTAATTAAACTTCGTTTTGAGTGTCGGAATACGAAGTTCCCTAACAGCCTCTCCGCACG